ATGGCTCATTGCCAGCGCGTTCCCTGCAACTTCAAGGGCAGTTGAACTGTCGTGATCCACCACCACCACCCAGCGTGCTGCCATGTGGGAATTCGTTACAGGAACAAGCATCTGGATGCCGACGCTCAAGAGGGGAGTGGAGACCACGATACCCTCCACGTCCGAAGCACCCAGATTGTCTAGCTGGTAGCAGTTAGGTTCTCCTCACGATATCCTTCTACGGTAGGTACGTCAAGCAACTGCTATCTGTTCGTCCATGTAGATGGTTCCTCTGGCACTATATGCAAAGTGAGAAGCTGTTTGTGCTAGCCACGTAATAGTTGTCACAGTGCTGTTCTCATACTAGTAGACACGTCCTGCTTGGCGCGGCGGTGTTGTTCTCGTAGTAGGCACGTCCTCCTTTGGCGCGGCAGTGCAGGAACAGAGTAGGCTCGTGGCGCGGCGGTGCTGGTCTCGTAGTAGGCTCGTACTGCTTGGCGCGGCGGTGCTGGTCTCGTAGTAGGTTCGTCATGGTTTGGCGCGGCGGTTCTGTTCTCGGACGGCGCGTCCAGAAATGGCGCGTGTCGCGGCTGTTCTATCTTGCACGACTTTGGTCGGCGCGTTTCGTGGGCACGTAGTGCGATTGCGCGCTGCTGTTCTGGCCGGCATGTCCAGCTCGCGCGCTGCTGTTCCTTGAGACTCTAAGGCCTATTATTAGAATATCTGATCAGGTGGGTTTCATAGCTCAGTTCTGTAGCCGTTAATTGTGCTTGTTTAACAGAATTGATAGAGAGATGGCGGACATCATCGTTACTGATCAGGCCAATGCTAGTGCGCTCCTCAGTAGCGCTGGAGCTCTACAACTCTCGGGCGACGCGAGAACCGACGCGGAACAGAAGCTGCACGACAAGATGACGCCTCATGATACCTCGCAGCTAGTTGTGAGGTATCGTCGGAAGAACACGCTTCCAGCACGCGATGCCCAGGTGGAATCGGAGGGGGCATCTTCATCGGATAGTGAGCAATCTGAGGAGGAGGCATACGATGGCAAGGTTGGTCGCGGTGGTTCACGCGGGCGGAGGCACGGTCGTAAGCTGAAGCCGTTGGACCAGTGTAAACCTGCTACAGGGAGGAAAGGTACGCCTCAAGCTTTTATATCCTTTCTTTGTGTTTGTATGTCTTATTGTTGCTCGTTATTAGCCTGGCTGTCCAGAGAGGTGCTGCCCTCGTATTATCTGAGCATATCGTCTTTACTTGATGCGTGTTGTAGGTACCCGCGCCGGAGGCAAGAAAAAGAAAAAAGGAAAACAAGACGCAGCGGGTGCAACAGGACATGTAGAAGATGCAGGCGACGAGGAGCAACTGCCAGAGAAAGGGCATAAGCGTGAGGACGAGCGTGAGGGAGAGCGTGAGGGCAGGAGAGAGGGTGAGCGTGAGGGCAGGCGTGAGGGCAGGCGTGAGGGCAGGCGGGAGGGAGAGCGAGAGGGAGAGCGAGAGCGAGAGCGAGAGGGAGAGCGAGAGGGAGAGCGAGAGGGAGAGCGAGAGGGAGAGGGAGAGGGAGAGCGTGAAAGAGAGCGTGTTGTGAAGCGTGAGGGAGAGCGTGATGTGCAGCATGAGGGAGAGCGTGAGGGAAAGCGTGAAGGAGAGCGTGATATGAAGCGTGATGCGTCTTCTCCCTCTACTCCAGCAGGTGCTCGTGCGGATGATGCACAGAATGTTCGTGGGCATGGGGAGGGTGGGAGGGAGAGACGTGGCGCAGAGTTAGAAGATCAGAGGGGGGTGTCAGGGAGAGTGAAGGCACGGGCCAGAAATGCTGGAAAGAAGGTCGTTGCAGAGGTGGAATCTTCAGATGAAGATGATAGTACGGAGGAGGAATCAGAGAGTTCCTCCGGGAGCGAGGAGAAGTTTGATGAGGAGGAGGACGGGAGTGATGACGTTGAATCCGGGTCCGGGAGTGATGACGACGGTAGGAGAGGGGGGAGGGCACGAGGAGTGCGCAACCACCGCTATAGTGGGAAGCGTGGTCATGCAACCGGTGGTAAGGCCGGTAATGGACGTAAACGACAGAGACGTCGAGAGCGTGCTCAAGGAAAGCGCATAGAATCTGAGGGACCCAATCGGCGTCCTAAGGAGCGTCCTGTTGTGAGACAGGACCTTGGTTTCTACAATGAGATGAGGACCTTGGGTCTTTCGGAAGATGCTGGTCCGTCGAATCGTCGGGAGACCGTTCGGATGAAACGGGCAGCAACCAACGATCCGTATGCTGCCCTTGTTTCTACCTCAGGATTGGGAAAGAGGGCTTCTCGATTTCAAGATCGGAGCGTGCGTGAGAACGCGGGCCAGCAGCATGACAACACGCTCAATCCAGCCGGTGGTGGTGACGATCCGGCCTGTGGTGGGGGGCTGGGGGCGAATGAGGGTGAGGCGGGTGGTGTTGGAGATTGGTTCAATGATGAAAGGAAAGTTGGACGCTCTGACCCAGCAACTCCTCTCCCGTTTGCATCGGCAGGTGGCAATTCCCAGCTCAACGCTAGCGGAGTGCCCATCATTCCCTCAAGCACCACTCCTAATGATTCCATGCAGCAACTCTTCCAGGCTTTGCAGGAAGCTAATCGGCAGATCGCAGAGCTAAAGGCAGGTCGGGGACCTTCGGTGGACCGGGGGTTAAACGGGACGCAAGTCCCGCCGCTTACCTCGATCTCCAGTGAGCAATCTGAGCCGCCCGAAACGCCGGGCGCTGTGGCGGAGAGTGATGTTCAAGGCACTCCAATCACCAGGAGGCATGGGATGCCTAATGCAACAAATCTGAAGGTAAGTGCCACCCATCTCACTTACCCATTGCTGGACCCTACTCGCTGGCTTGTTCATTATATCATTCTATTATCCCGTACCGCGTTATCATTCTCATTTTTGGTTTGTCTAGTCATTCCCACTATCTGGTTTCATTCCATGCAGTTACATTTTCTCATTCACAATCTCCGTTTTACCCTTCATTCCCAATTTCTGGTTTGCCCATTGTTCTCATTCTCTGGTTTAACCTTCCTCAACCTCTGGTGGTACCCCTCATTCTCATGCTATGGTTCACCACTCATTCTCAGCCAACTGGTTCCCACTACTCTAACCCTCTGGTTCCAATCCGTGCCAGTGCTCACTCTCATGCAGTCCTTGGCTTTACTTGCTTTTTTCCGATCTGGTTTTATTCTTTTCAATGGTCATTGTCATTATCATTATCCTGGTTTTCAACCCCATTGGCTGGCCCATCCGTGGCAATGGCTCGTCCACTAGTTCTCTCTGGTTTTTCGTTTCAACCGCATAATTTTGCACTTCCTCTGTCATTGTGGTTTACCTTTGCATTGTTTGTCACCTTATGTTGTATTAAACAGCTCTACATGGAAGAAGCTCGGACGCGCATATGTATGGAAGCCGAGGACCATCTTGTCACGTTCTACCCAAGCTTTGAGAAGCGCATTCTTGTTTTGCACGAAGTCATTTCCGAGCACTACGTGGTTCCCTTGATCATACTCAAGGAGGCCATGGCGGATAAAACGCGCAGGGATGCATTCAAGCGCGTGTACACTCAGTGGAAGAACGAGCGTGGGTTTTACATCAAACGCACCGTGCTCGAGGGGTTGGGGGTTCCCATGAGTGGCTTGCGGGCGGCGGAAATTCACATCGACACCGAGCTCAAGGAGGAACTTTGGGGGGAGTATGGCCCGAGTGAGTAAACATATGCTTGTCGTTTTCCCCACCTTCCCCCCCTCCCCCCTTTCTCACCATCTCAACCCTAACACCCCTATCTTGCAACATCCCATATTCCGTACTTCATTTCTTAGCTGGTACTTTACATCACCCCCAAACCCTTTTCCCATATCACACCCCAACCCTTGGACCACTTTTGTTCGAGCATGTTGCATGTGCGAACGCCCTACTGAGCACATGGGGAAACGCCGAGGATAGTGATCTCCCGTTCGGCAACGAGATCTTCTTCAACGCGGCCATGGACGCATTTGGTGAATTTGCCGTTGGGAACGACATTTGCTTGAAGGCATATCACATTGCATGGACTATCTTGGTGGTGAGTAACTTGTTAGGGCCCTTTAGCGTGTTTCTCTAGACGGTTCTTTTTTCCTTGTCTTTCCACCTGCCCCATGCCATCAAGTGTACACCTTATACACTCGTGTTTCCAGTTTCCCATCAGTTGCTTCTTGAAACCTAAGTTTCCAGCAGCCCTTTCGAGCTGAACCCTAAACCCTCTGGTTTCACTCTTCCACTCACGGACTTACATTGTTAATCCTTTTCTCCTTTCTCCTCACATCCATGCAGTACCCATCAGAACCCTAAACCCCTCAGGTGTTTCCGAACACTCATTGGTTCCCCATTTCCTTCCAAAGTTGCGCCCACTCATGTCTCATGCTCACATTCTACCACTGTGGCGTACTTTCCTGCATGTTGTGATTGCCCCGCATAACCGTAAACCTCTCACACATCCTTATCAAGCTTGAATTTGTTCATGATTTCCATTATTGACAACGCAGATCGACTACGGCTTGTCGAAGATCAAGAAGTCGACGATGAACCTCACCAACTCCCACCCGGCTGCAACAAGCGAGAACACGACGACGATCGGTTCCGAAGTTCTCGCGGATGAAAGGGTTTAAGTGGGGGAACTTCGGCTTGTTCGTCCATGAGTCGGGGTTCGAGGAGTATAGGCCAAGACCACAACCTCGCAACCCGACAAGGAGGGTGGCAGCAGGACACGTCTAGAGGAGATGAATGGTGGAATCGGAGCAGAGAATGGAGGAGAGGAGTAGCAGCAGGGAAGGGAGGAGAGGAGTAGCAGCAGAGAAGGGAGGAGAGGAGCAGCAGTAGGGAAGGGAGGAGAGGAGAAGCAGCAGGGAAGGGAGGAGAGGAGCAGCAGCAAGGAAGGGAGGAGAGGAGCAGCAGCAGGGAAGGGAGGAGAGGAGCAGCAGCAGGGAAGGGAGGAGAGGAGTAGCAGCAGGGAAGGGAGGAGAGGAGTAGCATCAGGGAAGGGCGGAGGGGAGTAGCATCAGGGAAGGGAGGAGAGGAGTAGCAGCAGGGAAGGGAGGAGAGGAGCAGCAGCAGGGAAGGGAGGAGAGCAGCAGCAGCAGGGAAGGGAGGAGAGGAGCAGCAGCAGGGAAGGGAGGATAGGAACAGCAGCAGGGAAGGGAGGGGAGGAACAGCAGCAGGGAAGGGAGGTGAGGAGTAGGAGGGGGGAAGGAAGGAGAGGAGTAGCAGCAGGGAAGGGAGGAGAGGAGCAGCAGTAGGGAAGGGAGGAGAGGAGTAGCATCAGGGAAGGGCGGAGGGGCCCAAGCATCAGGGAAGGGAGGAGAGGAGTAGCAGCAGGGAAGGGAGGAGAGGAGCAGCAGCAGGGAAGGGAGGAGAGCAGCAGCAGCAGGGAAGGGAGGAGAGGAGCAGCAGAAGGGAAGGGAGGATAGGAACAGCAGCAGGGAAGGGAGGGGAGGAACAGCAGCAGGGAAGGGATGTGAGGAGTAGGAGGGGGGAAGGAAGGAGAGGAGTAGCAGCAGGGAAGGGAGGAGAGGAGCAGCAGTAGGGAAGGGAGGAGAGGAGCAGCAGCATGGAAGGGAGGAGAGTAGCAGCAGCAGGGAAGGGAGGAGAGGAGCAGCAGCAGGGAAGGGAGGAGAGGAGTAGGAGCAGGGAAGGGCGTAGAGGAGTAGGAGCAGGGAAGGGCGTAGAGGAGTAGGAGCAGGGAGGAGAGGTATCAACGCAGGAAAGGGAGGAGAGGTACCACAGCAGGGAAGGGAGGAGAGGTACCACAGCAGGGAAGGGAGGAGAGGCACCACAGCAGGGAAGGGAGGAGAGGTACCACAGCAGGGAAGGGAGGAGAGGTACTACAGCAGGGAAGGGAGGAGAGGTACCACAGCAGGGAAGGGAGGAGAGGTACTACAGCAGGGAAGGGAGGAGAGGTACCACAGCAGGGAAGGGAGGAGAGGTACCACAGCAGGGAAGGGAGGAGAGGTACCACAGCAGGGAAGGGAGGAGAGGTACTACAGCAGGGAAGGGAGGAGAGGTACCACAGCAGGGAAGGGAGGAGAGGTACTACAGCAGGGAAGGGAGGAGAGGTACCACAGCAGGGAAGGGAGGAGAGGTACTACAGCAGGGAAGGGAGGAGAGGTACCACAGCAGGGAAGGGAGGAGAGGAGTAGCAGCAAGGAGAGGTGTGCAGGAGGAGGGGAGCACGGTAGTAACAACATCGGGGCAAAGCAAAGGTTTGACACCACGGGGGCGGGGTTAAGAAATAATAGCACGGCAGGGAGGATGCATTTCGGAGTAGTACGGCGGGGAGGATGCAGCAGAGAGTAGCTCTGCAGGGAGGCTGCAGCAGAGGGTAGCACTGCAGGGAGGTTGCAGCAGAGAGTAGCACTGCAGGGAGGCTGCAGCAGAGAGTAGCACTGCAGGGAGGCTGTAGCAGGGAGGCTGTAGCAGGTAGTAGCACAGCGTGGAGGATGCAGCGGGGAGCAGCACAGCATGCAGCAAGGAGTAGCACAGCAGGGAGGATGCAGCAGAGAGTAGCATAGCAGGGAGGATGTAGCAGAGAGTAGCACAGCAGGGAGGGTGCAGCGGAGAGTAGCACAGCAGGGAGGATGCAGCGGAGAGTAGAACTGCAGGGAGGATGCAGCGGAGAGTAGCACTGCAGGGAGGATGCAGCGGAGAGTAGCACTGCAGGGAGGATGCAGAGTGGAGCAGTACAGTAGGGAGGATGTAGCAGGGAGTAGCACAGCAGGAAGAATGTGGCATAGTATGGACCTGGGGGTTGATAGCGGGGAGTAGTAGCGCAGGTGCCATAGATTGGGGATGAGTAGTAGACTAGCTAGGTACCAGAGGATGCCGAAGCATCTACTGTGTTGTAAGCATCTTCAAGCTAATATTATGATTTACACGTACATTATTTCCCTCTTACGGTGAATTTAAGGAAAGCCCTATACAAACTACCAATTGTGGTTTTCAATCTCCGATTATGGTTTCTTGAAATGTTGCATATCCCTTTTCCTATATTATTATGTGCATATAAAAGTGTATAGCAAAACTTATCCAAGTCCAAAAAAAATCACATAATTTAAACAAATATGATCAAAACGAGTTATCCTAAACACAATTAGAAGTTCCTCACAACCATTTCGAAACTGTTTTAAAACACTCCAACCATCTACAAAGCATCTGACAGATCATCTGGAAAAAGTTCGATACTTTCTTCTAAAAAAGTACCGACCCCTACATCTTCAAATCATCTGCAAAAACACATGAAAAACACATCATGAGAGGTTTTCGGCCACTTGATTTTTGTGATGTTGGGAAGCAGGAGGAGGAGCCTGTGAAGAAGAGGGAGGATTGGCGAGGGATGAGAGGTAGGGTGGGGCTGGTGGGAGGCAGCAGCGAGCATTGGGGTCGAGGAACGCCATCATGCACTCGCCATACGACAGCCCTCCGAACGCCACTGCAGGTGAACCAACGCCATCCGAATGCTGCTGCCGCTGCTGCTGCTGCTGCTGCTGCCGCTGCTGCTGCTGCTGCTGCTGCTGCTGCTGCTGCTGCTGCTGCTGCTGCTGCTGCTGCTGCTGCTGCTGCTGCTGCTGCTGCTGCTGCTGCTGCTGCTGCTGCTGCTGCTGCTGCTGCTGCTGCTGCTGCTGCTGCTGCTGCTGCTGCTGCTGCCGCTGCCGCTGCTGCTGCCGCTGCTGCTGCCGCTGCTGCTGCTGCTGCTGCTGCTGCTTGAAATCCTGACAGAGCAGCGGCTGACCGTCTCCGTGGAATGAAACGTGCTGGGAGAATGCAGCAGCTCCCAGGTACTTTCGCAGGAAGTGCTGGCGAAAGCGGTCTGTGAACTTCCTGCCATCACCACATGGTCACAGGCGAGAGGAGAGGCGTTGAAGAAATGCTGAGGCGCGTTAGAAATGCTCAGGCATACCAAGACGCCTGGATTTAAAAAAGTCACGAATGTGGCATGAAGCATGGGTTACCTTCGGAGGAAGATGTAACGGTTACAGCACGACTTGTTGCTCCTCTTGAGCTGGCCGCTCCTCCCCAGCTCGCCCCACTGCTTCGTGCCGCACTGCAGCGCGTGGCGCAGCAGCACCGCGTCCTCCTGCCGTGAGAGGGAGGGAGGTGATCACTCAGTGCGCAACGGGGGAGGCAATGCCAGAGAGAGTGCGGCGTGGCGCAGCAGCACCACGTCCTCCTTCCGAGCGAGTGCGGAAGGGAGGGAAAGACAGGGTGAGTGCGGAAGGGAGGGAAAGACAGGGTGAGTGCGGAAGGGAGGGAAAGACAGGGTGAGTGCGGAAGGGAGGGAAAGACAGGGTGAGTGCGGAAGGGAGGGAAAGACAGGGTGAGTGCGGAAGGGAATGCCAGCGTGGGTGCGGCGTTCCCACCATCATGATGCGCATCGGCTGTGCAAGAAGTGCGCGGCTCAAGGCACACTGAACGTGTCATAATCCCTCCGACACTATAACAAGGAATGCATTGCAAGATCGAATTCTGAGATCCATTTCAAGCTTAAGATCCGGCGGATCAAGCTTAAGTCTCCTCTATAGACGCACCTCCCGCAACACACTGCCACCACCTCTGGCGACCCACCTCTGGCGACCATGGCTGCATGCCGGGCGACGCGGATTGCGAGGCCGACGGCGAGTGAACGGCTTCCGAGGAATGCGACATGGCGTGTGCGCTGCTGTTCTTGAAAGCGCTATTGATGCTTTTAAGACAGCAACTGACGAAAGCATGAGTTGGAGTCTAGCAAGGCTATATCATCACGCTTCAAATGGGAATGGCGTCCCGTCGAGCAAAACACCATGTACGAAGGCCCAGGCTTGATTGTGGGCCGGGTTCAGGCCCCCAGCCGGGCTGTTCAGGCCCCCGGGCCAAGCTTTTGGGCCTCCGAGGCTTTGATGATGGCGCCTCAGCTGGGGTGATGTGCGAGTGCGGATGTGGTGAGTGTGGGCCAAGTGGAATGACGAGAAGGGGTACCGAGAATCATTGCACCGACCTAGTTGTTACACTGACGACCAACATTCCCGCACTCAAACCCTCCAATAGGAGGTGGGACACAAGAAATCGTATAATTATCGTATAAAGTACGCCAGCATGTGATATCTCTCTCGAATTTTCAACCTATCACATGAGTGTGGAATAGGAGGAGTCCGTCGTGCGATACGAGGCACGTGAACACCAGCCAGTGGTGGAAACTGTCCAAACATTTGCTGCCTTCATTGGAATCGGACGGTACAGTATAGTAGAGACATCAATTGGCCCTCCAGCTCCATTGGTCCTAATCAGTGAGGGCCCTCACACGTCCAATCCAGGTGTACGGAAGGGCAAAGACATCGTTGACCTGGCAGGTGACTGCTGCTGCATGCCATATCTCCAATACTATCTTGATTATGGCGTGCGATAACAGTTAGAATGACGAGAAAACTGTGTTGCTCAAGAGGCTCTTGAGTCTTGACCTTGCAGTCTGCCATTCGTCATCAGCAACCAAGTGGAGGCGCTTGTGTGCCTCTTCCTGAGGGCGTGGAAAATCCCCACGCAATTGCGAAAATCGGGTTTGACCGAATTTTTGTCGACCTATAAATGGTCGACATTTCCTTCACGAAAAACGAAACTTGGGCCGAATCCGAGTCGACTCCGAAACATCCACTACAGCATATACAGAATTGCAAATTTACTGGTTTGCAGGCCTATTTGGTGGTCGGTTCCGGAAAGTTGTAAATTTTGCAGTGTTCAAAGTGGGCGCCAGATTTGCACACGGCCATTTTCAGGTGCATGCAGCTTAGTCGAGGCGCGTTATTCAGGTGCATGCCAGGTTGCTTACACTTTTCTCAGGTTAAAAAATGTCTCTCGTAAATTAACACGCAGTTCAAGATTCGATTAAAATTGGCACAAAAGGTCTGAAATAGATGCAATTTCGGGCTACGCAAATTGGAATCGGAATGGTTGGCTCTCGATGCTGCATTTTCTGACGTAACTCAGTGCAATGATTGCATTTTGTCCAATTTATACGCAAATTTCTGCTTTGCACCAACTCATTTCGAACGAATCTAATGCTAGATCTGTTGTACTTTTGACGCAGATGACGGACGCTGCGCATGGCAAATCAGCAAACCCTTCGTGAGTGTTTGTATATTTTGCCTCTACCAAACTAAGTTTGCCGTACGTGCATATTGAAATAGGTGGTATTCAACGGCCTTAATTACGTGGCATTAAATATACATGTAACATACGATATATCCTTAATAGCGGTAGGGGTAACTCACTCTTAACACTCGGGCATATTTATCGTGTTTCGGACTACCCTTTTCAAGCAATGCACGTCCCACTAGAGTTTGCTGATTTGACCCGCGAAGCGTCCGCCACCTGCGCCAACAGTACAAACGATTTAGCATTACAATCCGTTCAAAAAGATTTGGTGCGAAGCAAAAAATTGCGTAGAAACTGGGCAGAAATGCAATCATTGCACTGAGTTACGTCAGAAAATGCAGCATCGAAAGCCAATCATCCCGATTCCGATTTGCGTATTCCGAAATTCCATCTATTTCAGACCTTTTGTGTCAATTTTTATCGAATCTTGAACTGCGTATTCATTTACGGGAGAAATTGTTTAACCTGAGAAAAGTGTACGCAACCTGGCATGCACCTGAATAACGCGCCTCGACTAAGCTGCATGCACCTGAAAATGGCCGATTTGCACACATGATTGTGACGTCGTCATTGTTGCATGGACCGGTGTGCGACACCTCTTAGAGTGTTGCAACGACGGGCCGGATTCGTGGCCGTTTTGGAGTCGACTCGGCGTCGTTTTCGTTTCGGCCTCAATTTTCTTTTTGCGAAATTCTCGATTGTCGTCACTTGACTGACGAATGTCGTTAACTGGTTACCTTCGAAAAACAACCCCACGGATTCTGACCGAACTTTTGGAGTTCCCGATTTTACACGCCCTAAACTTGAAGGATCTTTCTGCCCAAATATGTGCAGTTTACTCGCATGGATCTTTCTTTTGGTCTTTCTGTGTACAATAATTGATTTCGATACGTGTACCTTCATGTATGGATATTTGTATGTCTAGCTGTGCGGTCCTAAATTGGTATGTGTGGCCCTGGTTCTTCCTTGTGAACACCCCATACTAACACTCCATTCTTCCCCCAAGATTACTCCATATAAGAATAGAAGTCAACACAATGTACAACAGTTCCACTAAAGAACACAGTATGCTATGTAGCCCACAAATATACTTCCCACAACCGTCCAGTGTACCATGGTAACCCTTATGATTAGCTGAGTAGGCTGACCACATGCCTGAGAGCTCACTACCTATATTGGTCGAGTGGACTTGCTCCTTTCCCTGCAACCAGATTCAGGGAAATGAAAGAGCAAAAATAAAAATGCTTATGCGCCCACCATCAACCCATAGTCCTGAAAATCAGAGTAGTGAAAATTGATTCAATGGCCCTGATCCCAACCCAACCCCAGCCGTCCCATCTGGCTCAATCCATCCACCCTGTAGCACTCTACTCTGTTCAGCCGGATTACGATACCATTACATCCCATCCGATCCGGCCCTGTTCCAGTCCATATTATCCCTCTTATCCCATCCCACCCCACACCACCCACCCTCACCTTGTCAACTGCATCTGTTTCCGATGTATCTCCTCCTCGCAGTTCCCACCGCCCCCGTCTTTCCCCAGCCCTGCTGCTCCCAGCTGCCCATTTTTCATCGCTGCTCTCAGCTCCCCCGATTTTCCTCGCTGCTCCCAACTGCCCCTCCTACCGTCCGCTGCTCACTGGTCCCCCTTCTCTCCTGTTGTTCCCAGCTCTCCGCTGCTCTCACCTTCCCCTACTCCTCTCCCATCCAATCCCCCCAGCACCCCCGCAGCAGCTGCGCCATATGACTCGCTCCGCCATGCAATCATGCTCCTTTTCAGTTTTGACTCCTCCCGAAAAAAATGTCAAATCGAGTCGGATTTCCAGGCATGCTCACTCACTGGTGCCATGCCCACCTGTGCCATGCCCACCTGTGCCATGCTCACCTGTGCCATGCTCACCTGTGCCATGCTCACCTGTGCCATGCCCACCTGTGCCATGCCCACCTGTGCCATGCTCACCTGTGCCATGCTCACCTGTGCCATGCTCACCTGTGCCATGCTCACCTGTGCCATGCCCACCTGTGCCATGCCCACCTCCACGGGCAGCAGCAGCTGGCCTCACCACGCCCACCACAGACTCGTCACACTGGAATGGGTCACACCATGCCTCCCACCCACGCCTCCCATCCACGTCTCATGGCGTGCGGCTGGGTGGTTCCCAATCTGCTGCTCACCGCCACTCTCTCTGCCATCTTCCACCCTCCCCTTGACGCTCCCAGCCCTTCCTGCAGCCATTTCACTGCCACCTCTTCCCCCGCTGCTCCTCCTCGATTCTCTCTGCCTGCAGCACCTGTGCCGCTCGCATCCCCTCCCTGTGCGTGCCGCTCGCATCCCCTCCCTGTGCGTGCCGCTCGCATCCCCCTCCCAAGTGCTGCCATGCTCTGGCCTGACGGGAAGGCGGAGGGACGAGGGAAAGGGGACGACACGGATGGGGAACAGGGAGGGCGGGGACCGGGATGGGGGGAACAGGGAGGACGGGGACCGGGATGGGGGGAACAGGGAGGGCGGGGACCGTGATGGGGGGAACAGGGAGGGCGGGGACCGGGATGTGGGGAACAGGGAGGGCGGGGACCGCGATGTGGGGAACAGGGAGGGAAGAGCAGGGAGGGGGGAGGACCGGGGAGGGGAGGGCAGGGAGAAATGACAACTAAGAATTTCTCGAAGTGAAACATGACAGGGAGGGGGAAGGCAGGGAGGGGGGATTAGCACAGGAGAGACGATGGATTTGAAAAGCAAACTATCGCACGGGATGCACAGGAAAGACGGGGCAAGGAGAGTGACTGGGGGGAAGGAAGGACGGCAAGAGGGGAGGAGCGGAAAGATGTGGGTGGAGGAGGGGAGACAGTGGGCGGGGAAGAGGCAGGCGGGGATAAAGCGACGCTCATGAATGCGTCCCCTCCTCCCGCGTGACTGCTCACCATCCTCCGAAGGCACCCAGCACAGCATACGCTCATCCCCCCTCGCGACGCTCATCCCCCCGCGCGACACTCACCCCGCCGCGGTGACGCTCGCACCCCCCTCCCACCCACCCCCCCCAGACGCTCATCCCCAAACGTGACGCTCATCCCCAAACCTGACGCTCATCCCCGGACGAGACGCGCGGCTTTCAACCTTCCAAGTGCACATCCACCCCGACATACCCGGAATCGCATCGGACTCGAGATTGACGGCAAATATCGCGAGAATTTGTCGCCACCCACGTGGAGAGAGAATTCATCGAGGTACGAACGGTCACGGTCGACACATGCGACTCGGCAGAGCTGACGCGAACCTGCTGCGGTCAGAGTGGATTGAGTGGGTTTGAAGCATGCCGGGATCGGAAAGGCCGTCTCCTGATTTGACACATGCGACTTGGCAGCAGATCGACGGGAGGCTGCTGCGGGCAGCGGAGGCCGCGAGGGTGGGAAGAAGGCCGGGGTCGAACCCGCCGTCGTCATTGCGGTTCGTCGTAGAGCGACGGTTTTTTTGGGTGCAAATAGGGATAAGAACGTGGTGATGCAGAGCGAGCGAAAGCTGACGCCGTGAAAGGCGGAGCCGCGAACAGTGATGCCAGCTTGCCGACCTGATCCAACGGTAGTAAGGCGCGCCGTTGGATCAGACCGGCAAGCCAGCTGTCGCGGTGTCGCCTTTTCCGCATGTCGAAAGCTACGTGAGTACGCGGGAAGGATCGCGCCCTACGAGTCTGACGGACGGTGCGCGACTTGATCAGCTAGGTTTGCGGTCATGCTTCCAGGTTTGTGCTTCGGGCAGACGGCTGAATCCCTCCCAGCCAGTACAGATGGGGGAGAGGAGAAAGACCATTTGCGGGTGCCTCGAGAACAACGATCGAGGTAAGCGACTGTGACGCGGATATTGCTATTGTGAAAATGATTTTCTTTTAGGTGAGAATAAATAATGTTACAAAACGAAATCAAATGGCACAAGCCCTACATACAAGTATTAGGAAAGACTGGCTGTGCAGTCTCTGAATGACGAGCAAACATGTGTATGGTATATTTTGGGATGAAGCCTGGAGGCATCCCATGGTGAAGAACGGCTGTATGTGAAGTCAGAACGTTCATGGTCGATCTCGATCATTACCGATCAAGTCCGTTCTTCAAAAGATTAGTCGAGTCGAGCAGCGCACACACAAGCTGGGGTCATAACCAGCTGTGGCATTCAGGGCATGCCGTCGCCTCCTGATGTATCGGTCATGTCAGGCAACGGAGGGAGTATGGGGCTGCAGAGAGCCGGTGGAGCACCAGTGGGGAAGGGCTGCTGCAGTGTGGCCGGGCGCGGCTGAAGGTAAGCTTGCATGTGTGACCCTCTCAGGGGTAAGTGCGCATTCAATGGAGCCCTTGGACGTTGACAAGGCACAGGCAGCCCAGGCGCTTGTGGTGGTAGCTGTAGGAGTGGATTTGGGAGTGGCTTCGAGAGTGGCTGTGGCAGCGGCTGTGAGTGCAGGTGTGGCTGGTGCGGTGGCAGCGGCTGTGAGTGCAGGTGTGGCTGGTGCGGTGGCAGCGGCTGTGAGTGCAGGTGTGGCTGGTGCGGTGGCAGCGGCTGTGAGTGCAGGTGTGGCTGGTGCGGTGGCAGCGGCTGTGAGTGCAGGTGTGGCTGGTGCGGTGGCAGCGGCTGTGAGTGCAGGTGTGGCTGGTGCGGTGGCAGCGGCTGTGAGTGCAGGTGTGGCTGGTGCGGTGGCAGCGGCTGTGAGTGCAGGTGTGGCTGGTGCGGTGGCAGCGGCTGTGAGTGCAGGTGTGGCTGGTGCGGTGGCAGCGGCTGTGAGTGCAGGTGTGGCTGGTGCGGTGGCAGCGGCTGTGAGTGCAGGTGTGGCTGGTGCGGTGGCAGCGGCTGTGAGTGCAGGTGTGGCTGGTGCGGTGGCAGCGGCTGTGAGTGCAGGTGTGGCTGGTGCGGTGGCAGCGGCTGTGAGTGCAGGTGTGGCTGGTGCGGTGGCAGCGGCTGTGAGTGCAGGTGTGGCTGGTGCGGTGGCAGCGGCTGTGAGTGCAGGTGTGGCTGGTGCGGTGGCAGCGGCTGTGAGTGCAGGTGTGGCTGGTGCGGTGGCAGCGGCTGTGAGTGCAGGTGTGGCTGGTGCGGTGGCAGCGGCTGTGAGTGCAGGTGTGGCTGGTGCGGTGGCAGCGGCTGTGAGTGCAGGTGTGGCTGGTGCGGTGGCAGCGGCTGTGAGTGCAGGTGTGGCTGGTGCGGTGGCAGCGACGACGGCATGTGCTCAAGCTCTGACCACTGAGGGGCCTTCCAGTGTGCGAGCTTGCCCTCCTGGGAGGGAAAGCGCTGCTGCCTGTGCATCCCAGCACCTCTCTCCCCGGTTTCTCCCTGATCCACCGCCCACTCTGGCAGGGCCATCCCAGCAGCACGTGGGGCTGCTGATCCCTCAGCCTGAGGACCACTTGCCAAGGGCATGTTGAGGGCACTCCCACCCAGCAGCACGTGAGCCATGGGCGTGTCGAGAAAGAGCGCACCGCTGTCGCCAATGTGCTGGTCATTGCTGTTAGTGACGTCAGTGTTGTCACTGTTGTTCATGTTGCCCAGCATGTTAATGCCTGCATCCACGTATTCCTGCTCCTCTGTGCCACACGCACTCCCAGCAAGCATCGCAGTAAGGCACCTGCTCGTGCTGTCAACAGCCGGGCCAGGCAGACCAGCGAGCGGCGAGGGCATTGGTGCTGCGAGTGGCTGGGTGGGCGGAGGAGGAGGAGCAGAGAGAGCAGAACATTGAGTGAAGGCAGGGTCCTTGCAGCAGAGTCCCAGCAGCACGTCGTCTGGAAGGGCACTCTCCGACCCAACGCGCTGCCATACCTCCCAATGCACTGCGAATTCCCCACAGCAGGCGGTGGAATTACCAAAGCAGAGAGCGGAGGCAGGCAGAACAGTGAGCTGGGGCAGCATTGGCGCTGGCTGCACTTCGTGTGGCTGGGCGGGCGGAGGAGCAGACAGAGCAGCACGCTGTACGAAGGCAGGGCCCTCGCTGCTGAATCCCAGCAGCATGTCGTCTGGAAGGGCACTCTCCGACCCAACGCGCGGCCACAACACCCGCTGCGCTCCGCTCCTCGCTCCTCCCTGCTGCTGCTGCCGATGCTCCTCCTCCAGCAGAGCCTCCAGAAGGGCTTCATTCGCTGCCTGCTGCTGCATGCGGCTGCTCTGACCCTGCTGCTCAAACTGCTCTGCTACTGACTGACGCCGGCGCTCCATGCTGCTCGCCCACCCGCCTCGCACCACCCCTCGTCGCAGCAAACGGCTCGCAGGTTCACCCAGCAGCGGCTGGTGTGCCCCCATCCCAGGGCAGTCGTCCCGTGGTCGCTTCACTGCGCGACGCAGCATGGAGAATGGACGCTCAGCGGTGGCAGCAGCAATGGGGAAGGTTTCATGGGAGAATGGACGCTCAGCGGTGGCAGCAGCAACGGGGAAGGTTTCATGGGAGAATGGACGCTCAGCGGTGGCAGCAGCAACGGGGAAGGTTTCATGGGAGAATGGACGCTCAGCGGTGGCAGCAGCAACGGGGAAGGTTTCATGGGAGAATGGACGCTCAGCGGTGGCAGCAGCAACGGGGAAGGTTTCATGGGAGAATGGACGCTCAGCGGTGGCAGCAGCAACGGGGAAGGTTTCATGGGAGAATGGACGCTCAGCGGTGGCAGCAGCAACGGGGAAGGTTTCATGGGAGAATGGACGCTCAGCGGTGGCAGCAGCGAAGCTGGCAGCTTGGGAAGCAGGATGAGGAGGAGGAGGAGGAGGAGGAGGAGGAGGAGGAGGAGGAGGAGGAGGAGGAGGAGGAGGAGGAGGAGGAGGAGGAGGAGGAGGAGGAGGAGGAGGAGGAGGAGGAGGAGGAGGAGGAGGAGGAGGAGGAGGAGGAGGAGGAGGAGGAGGAGGAGGAGGAGGAGGAGGAGGAGGAGGAGGAGGAGGAGGAGCCTGTGAAGAAGAGGGAGGGGTGGCGAGAGATGAGAGGTAGGGTGGGTGTGCTGGGAGGCAGCAGCGAGCATTGGGGGCGAGGAACGCCATCATGCACTCGCCATATGACAGCCCTCCGAACGCCAGTGGTGCTGCTCCCACGCCCTCCGATTGCTCCGACTGCTGCTGTTGCTTGAGGTCCTCACAGAGTAGTGGATGACTGTGGCCGTCCAATGGAATATGCTGCGGGAAGGCAGCAGCTCCCAGGTACTTTCGCAGGAAGTGCTGGCGAAAGCGGTCTGTGAACTTCCTGCCATCACCACACGGCCAGCCACAGGAGAGGAGAGGCGTTGAGAAAGGCTGAGACGTGCTCGAAATGCTCAGCCGTATCAAGATGCCTGCATTTAAAAGATAATGCCAGCAGGGTTACCGTCGCAGGAATATGTAACGGTTACAGCACGACTTGTTGCTCCTCTTGAGCTGACCGCTCCTCCCCAGCTCGCCCCACTGCTTCGTGCCGCACTGCAGCGCGTGGCGCAGCAGCACCGCGTCCTCCTGCCGTGAGAGGGAGGGAGGTGATCACTCAGTGCGCAACGGGGGAGGCAATGCCAGAGAGAGTGCGGCGTGGCGCAGCAGCACCACGTCCTCCTTCCGTGGGAGGGAGGAGCGGAGGGAATGACAACGTGAGCAGCAAGTGTGGAAATACGCGGTTTGAGGCACATTCTTGACACGCAGCATCACCGCGTCCTCCTGCCGTGAGAGGGCGCAGCGGAGGCAATCAGGCGGCGTGAGTGCGGCATTCCCATGATAAGCATGATTGAGCGTGATAGTGCGCGGCTCAAGGCACGAATGTGTCCTGACGCACAAAGGTCGTACATTTCCATCGACATAACAAGGAAGAAATTGCAAGATTGGATTCTGAACCAATCCGCGACCCACCTCTGGCGACCATAGCTGCATGCCGGGCGACGCGGATTGCGGAGAGGCAGGCGAGTCAACGGCTTCCGAGGAATGCGACATGGAGTCTGCGCTGCGGTTCTTGATAGTCCTAGTGGTGCTTTTTAAACGGCAACTTACGAAACCAGAACTTTGAGTCTTGCAAGTCTGTATCTCTCGTCAAGAGGGAAATTCCTTTAAAAGGAATAACGTCACCCCATGATGCACAAGGTCCGCGCTTGCGACATGCGGGCTGGAGTTCAGCCCCGGGTCTTGCCGCCTCGGCCTCGGGCGATGAAGGGCGAGGGATGCTTTCTCGCCTCGCCGCATTTCGACTTCAAACGCGGGCAGCCGGCGACTCGTCGGGTGGCAGTAGGTGTGCGACGGAGGGCAGGTGGAAGGGGGTGAGCTGATGCGAGAGCGACGATGCGGTGAAGTGTGGGCCAAGTGGACTGACGAGGGGTACTGGGAATCATTGCACTCGCCTAGTTGTCGCCTGATTTCCGGCATTCTCGCACTCAGACCCTCCAATAGTAGGAGGTGGCAACCCGGTACTGAATCGTACTAAGTACTAGCATCGGATGCCCCTCGCGAATTTCGCCCTGTCACATGAACGTCCTGGGGACGAGTCCATCGTGAGACACGAGGCACGTGAACACCGGCCAGCGGTGAAAACTGTCCAACCGTTTGCGATATGTTCGAATCAGAAAGTCGATAACCAGACTGCAGCACTGTACACCAAAACGAAGCCGCTGGCTGAAGCTGCCCAACGCCATTGACCCACATGCGTTTGGGTTAGGGTTTGCGCATAAGAGCGACCTTCAAGCTCAGGAAGAGGCAGGCAGAGAGAGCCGCACCTCATCACACGGTCAAGTGTAACAGTTGCCTGGTCCCTAATCTGCTACACCTTGTTCTAGATAATTGCACACCCCTTTACGTGCTTTGACTTGATGCGATGGACACCCAGAGATTGAGGGACTATAAAGATACAACGGGCATGTGGCTCTAGAAAGGAATCGCACTTAATGTTCAGGGTAGGGTTTAGTCAGGGTTGGGTTCTCTTTTATATTCCTGGTCCACCCCGACCAAACCCGAAAGTCGTCGGACCCTCCTCCGCGGTTTTCCTAAATGCTGATAACTACCCTACGATAACGACTGACCTAGGATAAATACCCCAGTGTGTGGATTAAGGGGTGTGATTTAATCGAGAACAGGATGTATTGCATGGCATAAGATATCTGTTCAGTTTCAGCCTCGCTCCTGATGCGGCATTCAGCAGCAGCAGTAGTTCGTCACAAAAAATGGGACGACCAAATGCTTTCAACATTTGGCGTATCTAGCAGCCATGCGCAGCCAGGCATGGCCCAGAAAGCTCTGTGTAGTCCCCTAGCATTCTTTCCAGGCCTAGCAATGCGTATGCACTGCCATGGTTGCTACCACCAATGTACCCCCTTTCGCATTGTCTGTTCGGTAGGGTTGTCTGTTGGGCGCATCCGGTATGGTTCACTGCATTGTAATGAGTCTTCCCATATAAGTATAAGAATGGTGTTTATCCTGTGATATAACACTGAAATTGATGACAAACAACATGTATAAAAAAAAAAAAACAAACAAACCCACACAGCAAAAGCCTCCAGGCTACAAAGCCTCCTTGCTACAAGGCCTCCCAACGGCTACATCACCCCCCACCTTGCAACAAAACCTACAAAAGGGAAAGGGATAGAATACAGATGCAATTAGGGTTTGCATGTCGTGCGTCTGCGCCGCACCCAAAACACCCGGAACACGCTGTGGCAACAACTCCTGCACGGGGTGCCGGCAACAAGAAACCACTACAGCTTCCAGTGCGGCCTTATGTCAACTCCTCGCGGCAGCGACCCGCCCACCTGTTCAGATACCAGAGACCAGGAGTCACAAACGACTCCACCATGTGCACGGTCCTCTGGACGGCTATGACCGGCACGAGATCGTAGCTCAGATCGTCGTCGGAGGGCCGCATCCTCATGCAGCCAGTGCCTTCGTCCACCTGTGAGGGGTACCACTGCCTCACAAACGCCACGGCCTCTCCCGCGGGGTGTGCATCCTCGCTGTTCATCATCAGCGTCAGGAGAAGGTGCACGCGGCCGTGCACAGTCTCCCCGCTCCCGGTCTCATACTCGATGAACGAGAAGGCGGGAGCGCCATGGTGCGAGGGGCTGGCGCGGACATAGTGCGGCCTGATCAGGCCGTAGTCCGTCTCGCGGGCTGGCAGAGCCAGCGCCGTGTGGACCTGATACGGCAGAGAGGGGTAAGAAGCAACGGCAGAGAGGGTAGGGCATGGGCTGAAAGAAGCAACGGCTGAGAGAATCAATGAAGATACAAAACCGGGGCGGACAGAGTCATGGGTTGAATGAGGCAAGGGCGGACTGAACCAAGGAAGGCACGAAACCAGGGCAGACAGAGGCATGGGCTGAATGGGCCATGGGCTGACAGGTGCAAGGGTTATAACCAGGGCGGATATAGTCATGAGTAGAATGAGGCAAGGGCGGACTGAACCAACCTAAACCCTAAACAAGGGCAAACAGAGGCATGGGCTGAATGGGCCCCGGGCTGAAAGAAGCAAGGGCAGAGCGAAGCAATGAAGAATACGAATCCAGGACGGGCAGAGTCATGGGCTGAATGAGGCAAGGGCGGACTGAACCAAGGAAGGCACTAAACCAGGGCAGACAGAGGCATGGGCTGAATGGGCCATGGGCTGACAGAGGTACAACCCGGCGGCAAGAAGCAAGGGCGGAGAGAAGCAAGGAAGATACGTAACCAGGGCGGACAGAGGCATGGGCTGAATGGGCCATGGGCTGATAGAAGGGCGGCAAGGGCGGCAAGAAGCAAGGGCGGAGAGAAGCAAGGAATATACGAAACCAGGGCGGACAGAGGCATGGGCTGAATGGGCCATGGGCTGACCGAGGCAAGGGAGATAAGAAACCAGCTCGCGAAAAGAAACAAGGAAATGCAGCAACCATGGCGGCCCGAGGCATGGGCGTAACGTTTAGCATAAAAACATTCCCCATACCATGTGGACTTGGGATCCGATGGGAAATGCAGTGGCAGTGGTGAAATGTGACGGGGCGGGAAAAGTAATAATGGTTACCAAGCGACGGGTTAAGTGAGATAATGGGTGTTGTTATGGTACCAGCAGACACACGCACTTACCCATGCTGGAAAAGAGACGTAGCCGTAGAGGCGCGTCAGGTAGGCGTAGGGCCCAATGCCTCCGGGGATCGCGGCATCGTACGTCGCGTACAGGTCCAGGGGAGCCTGCTCCCTGTCACAGATCGCACTGTGCATCCGGGATCGCTGGCGGCACAGCTGGGGCAGACCAGCGGCGATCGCCTGCCACAAGCCATGTCGGGGGGGAAATGCAATGGAGAAGGAGAGCAAGTCGTTAGAGGCCAGGCGATCCACAGGGTTCAACCACCCGCTTTCAACACTCACCTCACTAGCCTATCACTGCATGGACAACATTCCAAGATATCCAAAAGGCAAACATGCACACGCACCCGGCGCATCGCCGTGTTGTACTGGCGATCTCCCTCGAGGTTGGTTGGGAGGCGGGTCAGAAGAGCCGTGTTGGTGTTGTGCTGCGCAATCGCCCGCATCAGGTCCCGGTGGTTGGACCTGCGGTACGGCCTCTTGCAGGTACGGATGTGTGCGTTCTCGTACACCGCTGCAGAGTACTCTCGAGGCAGGCCACCCCTTCGAATCGCCTCCGTAAGGTGAAGCAGCAGGTGCACCTTCACAAGGTTCCATCCGGCGTGTTCGCGAGGGAAGGTGCTCTCCACCAACTGCACCATCCTGAAAGCATGGATACAAGTGGGATTTGTGGCTGAGTGGAGTGAGGGGCTTACCGAGACAAGTGTCATCAGAAACCAGGCGGAAAGAAACAAGAAAATGCCGAAACCATGGCAGACCGAGGCATGGGCTGCATGGCCCATCGGCTTTCCGAGTCAAGTGTTATCAGAAACCAGGGCGGAAAGAAATAAGGAAATGCAGAAAGCTTGGCAGACAGAGGCATGGTTCAATGAGGCATGGGCTGAATGAGGCCAGCACTAGTCTAATGACACCCACGACAGTGTCTACACCGCGTACCTGCGGGTGGCAGTGTCGAAGGCGCTCAGGCTCTCATCCGTGTGCACCGCTGCCCTCACGAATGTCTCGTGCCAGTCCAGGAAGGCGACAATCGTGCGGCTGTTGATCACCGCTACTTCGCCCTCCAGCACGAAAGGTACAATCTGCCACAGAGTTGTACACACAGTTCACAATACCAATCTGACCATCGAATGGGGAGTCTTATACGAAAACATACCCAGTAGAAAGACAGGCCAGGGGATTGGAACGCGCACCATCATGACGCCGGCGTGCTCCGACGCCGTGAAGTTGGCACCGGAGACCCAGTACGCTGCATCACCAGGAGTTAGCAGACCCGCCAGCCTTGCACCAGGGTGTAGTGGATTCTGACGCCTGCACCAGATTAGGGGCAGAAACAACTAACAAACCATGGTGAATGTGAAATGGCGCGTAAGAAGGCCAAGGGCGGCTTACACCGTCCAACCACGCGCTTGTGGTTGCGCCACCATGTGCACAATTCATAGGGCAGCCTTACGCGTCTAAGGTGGCGGCGCGTCCATCGGGTCCACGCAGTGCGGCGCGAAGGTACAGCCAGAACCCAAGGTAGATGATGTGCAGAATATCCGGCATCTGCGACAGGTAGGTGTTCCCCCAGAGCGTACGGGAGAAGTTCCACTCCCATAGGAACGACTGCATCCACAGAATACCCAGGAAGCACACACAAGCCACGTGTGTTAAACGCGGTGGCCGCACCAGCGCCCAAGTGGCACGACACTCAATCGCGGGTTACATTGCGTGCAATGGGAGGCACCTACCGCGACACAGAGTGTGGAGTACTGCCTCGCGAGCGCAGGGTTGGCAATCAGTGATGACTGCTGCTCCACCGAGCGCGATTCCGAAGCCCCCGCCGTCATGTTCCTGAGCTGCCCTCGATCCACATAGCACAAAGAGCACGGCATCTGACTGCCATGCTGCTGTGTGCACGAAACCTTGCAGGTTTCAGGGAAGTCCGCCACGTAGGAGAAGAGTATGGGCCAGATGACCCTGTCGACCCCCCATGGATCCCGGGCCGCTATCCCCCTGTGTGGATTGCAGCACAGAATCACAGAGTTGTGAATTAGTTCAAACAACTAGAATCCCATCACCAGAGGCACGTGCTGAGAGAGGCAGGCCGGACAGAGACAAGGGATCATAGAATGATGGATAATAGGGGCAAGGGCGGCTATATTCAAGTGCGGACAGAGACAATGCCTCCAAGAATGAAGGAAACAAGAGGCACGGGCGGGTATAGGCAAGTGCGGACAGTGGCAGAGGATCACAGAATGAAGTAAAAAAGAGGCAAGGGCGGGTATAGGCAAGTGCGGACAGAGGCAGAGGATCTCGGAATGAAGTTGAAAAAAAAGGAAAGGGCGGGTATAGGCAAGTGCGGACAGAGGCAGAGGATCACAAAATGAAGTAAAAAGGAGGCAAGGGCGGGTATAGGCAAGTTCGGACAAAGGCAGAGGATTAAAGGATGAAAGACAATAGAGGCCAGGGCGGTTATGAGCGAGGGTGGACAGAGGGAATTGCGAACGAAGGCATTGGCTGATCCATGGGTGTAGAGCACTCACGTGTGTGATGCGAGAATCAGGTCAGCGAGGACCACCTGCATCGCAGCTTGGAAGAGCTGCACCTTCTGCTCGGCCGTCATCCCATGTATAGGCATCGGGAGTAGTGCTAGCAGAATCTTCCCGGAATCCCCCCATCGGAGACGGAGGTGGATGTTGGCGATGCTAAGGTAGACCGCCCAGACCTTCACACGCTCATTCCCGCTGAGAATCGTTGCGTCGCTTGAAATGATGATGGGTGCCACCACCTGGCCCGGCCCATAAATAGCGTCCAGGGCGTCCTGCCAACAACAAAGCATGGCGAAGTTGAATTAGCAACACAACCTTGGCAGCTGAACCCCGATGAAAGGGCGGAAGCATAGCAAGCAACAGGGCGGACCGGACTGTGAGATGTTCCAAACGCCGGTTGGAGTTAGTCACAACATTGGCGCCTATCACTACCTACATTCCCGGTACACCACAGCCACACCATCCGTACCTGTGCGGCTTCCCACAAAACACCAGACTCTGGCCTTGTATACACGCGTCCCGCCACCGAGTGAACCGGAAGGGCAAACATCTGAAAGCCGTCTGCATTGTCAGGGTGGCCAAAAATCTCCACAACACCCTGGGCCAGAGCAAAGGCGGATGATGCAAGGGGCGGACAGATGGAAGGGCGGAATGAGGCAAGGGCGACAGCGACAAGGGCGGAATGGGGCAAGGGGCGGACAGATGCAAGGGCGGACATATGGAAATGCGGAACGATGAAGAGCGGACAGAGGCAAAAAGCTCAATGCAGCAAGGCGGACAGATGCAAGGGCGGAAGGCTGCAAGGCGGAGAGAGGCAAAGGGCGTAATGAGGCAAGGCGGAAAGATGAGAGGGCGGACAGAGGGAAATGCGGAACGATGAAAAGGGCGGACAGAGGGAAATGCGGAACGATGAAAAGGGCGGACAGAGGGAAATGCGGAACGATGAAAGGGCGGACTGAGGGGAAAAGGGCGGAATGCTGCAGGGCGGACAGAGGCAAGGGCGGAAAAGGCAAGGGCGGAATGAGGGGAGTAGGGCGGAATGCTGTAATGCGGACAGTGGCAGGGGCGGAATGCTGCAAGGCGGAGATAGGCAAAGGGCGGAATGAGGCAAGGTCGGGTATATTCAAGTGCGCACAGAGGGCGGACATAGGGAAATGCGGAAAGATGAAAGGGCGGACTGAGGGGAAAAGGGCGGAATGCTGCAGGGCGGACAGAGGCAAGGGTGGAATGCTGCAAGGCGGAGAGAGGGAAATGTGCGACATGAGGCAAGGCGGACAGATACAAGGGCGGAATGAGGCAAGGGCGATATAGACAACTAGCGGACAGATGCAAGTGCGCACAGATGGAAAGGCAGAACGATGCAAGGGAGGACAGAGACAACAAGGGCGGAATGAGGCAAGGGCGAACATAGATAGCTTGTTGTACCTCGATAGGGCTCGTACACATCAACTCGAATGTGTGGTCGACACCGGGAATACGCACTTCCACCTTTCTGTACACCCGCCTCGCCATCATGAGGCGAAGTCCGTACTGAAGCATGGCGTATTTGGTAAGCCAAGGTCGAATAGCCTCCAGATCCAGACGTGGGTCGCGCAGTAGCTTGAAAAGCCAGGCAGTGGACTCGTCACTGAGGCCTTGGCCGCCATTGCACCCGATGACAAAGCGGAAGAACTCCAAGGCCGTGTTGAACTCGTTCACGTCGACGGCGCTCGCGTCATCATCGGTATCGGAAGAATCACCATCGTCGAAGTCGCTCTCGTAGTCGGACTCATCCTCCGACTGCACTTCGTCGTTGGTGTCTGTACCGCCAGGGTGTGGAGCTTCAGTGCCCTACACGGAAACGGAATAACATTTGACCATATTGAGTCTGCTATTCACAAGCGAGCAGTACGAGCCCGAAACCCGGAAACGTGATGCATGCAACATTTGAAATTTATGGGCTCACCTCCTCCATGTCGCCCTCATCTTCAGCATCCGAGGTCGGCACGTCTTCGGCATTCGGAGATGCCGAGCCAACAAAGTCATTGATGTCAGCGAAGGGGTGTCTTCCACGGAAACGAAGGTACCGCCTGCGTTGTGCTCGGCATTCTTGACTGTGCAGCTTGTGTGCTACCAGCGCTGTGCGTTGGGTAAAGTGCTCGAGGCACCATTCACATGCGAAAACGTAAGATACAGGCGGCATCGCAGCAGAACGCCTCGCATGCTCCGTATGATGAAATGCACATCATCAGAGGCATTTTTTATACCGTTTGCCTCAGTCGTTCCGGCAGGCAGGTTAAGAGCCAATCGCCTGAAGATGTCTGCCATCTCCTAAGCCGCGCTAAGCTCCGCACCTCGTGCCTGATCTCGCAGGTTTACTAGCAACGTCGCGCTGTATATTAGTGACGAATCAGGGTGAATGCGAATCTGTCGCCACGTCGGCTTAACCAATGTCAAGTCGACGATGAGACGCATCGGGCTTTTAAGGCTTATAGCAGATATCCCGCATTTGTGCCAGATGACTGGACTGGCCCGTACTCCAGCCCGCCGCCTCCTAAAAATCTAGATACTATGTCCCGCATAGAAGGACACGACTTCGTGCGTGGCGAAATGCGTGCCATGACTTGGTCAGGGTTTCAGATGACGGTCACAATCATTTGGGGAAGTGCTGTGACAGCTCACCACGCGTGTAATCGATATTTGGAAAAGATACCAATCTTCATGTGTGCTTATTGTTTCTACACCAGACGTGTACCCCTCTGGTGTATTCCTCAGCGTGTCGTACAATAACGAGTCACGCGAGAGACACGCTGTGACTCCCGTGCTTGTAGCTTCCAGCACAAGACTGCATTTTGTGCTTGTGACTTCCCGTAGTACTACACCTTTGTCTTCGCCAAATTATCATACTCCTACCCACTTTTAGCTATGGCATCCTCTGTGTCCAAGTTCGTTTCGGGAACCGTGAACAACCACAAGCGAAGCTGGCGGTGCGCACGCGACCTGGACAACACCGAGCCGTACAGCCGATACCAGGGCCCGGAGTGGCCGCGCACAAGGACTGCCAAAACCAGGCCTGGAAACATTCACGTGTTTGTGCGCGACTACCCCGACATTGCAGCTGTTGTCATGCAAGCCGAATATTCACGACTGCTGGCCAGTGACGAGCAACCGACTCCCAAAAAACTAGCAGACAGCATTCTGCACCTGGTCACTCCAAGCCGCGCCGCTGCTTGGAAGCTGCGACGCATCTCTGAGGACAATCTTCGAGGCTTCCGTGGGCTTGAGCACGATGTTGAACTGCCATACCTTGACCTCCGCATCATTGAGGCCGTTTTCAACGACGACCGGGACCCTGCACCCGTTCGCGAGCGTGCTAAGGCGTTTGTGGAGCTTGCCGCATCGGGGTACCGTGGCGTTAATGTCAAGGCCAAGAATGGCAACGAAATGGTGGCCACTGAACCGCCAAGCATGGATTTTCGTCAATACCTCATGGACTTCGCGCATTCGGAAGGATGGGTGGTAAGGTTTCTGTTGGGCCTTGTGTTTAACGCTTCGTAACCCTTCGTGAGCCACTTGTGTAATGCTTGATGCCACTCGTTTGGCTTTTGGTACGTCCTGACTTGTGCTATATCGTTGAACCCGCGCCACGCTCGTCTTTCCTAAACATGCAGCTCGATAGAGGGTTTTACAACTATGTTGGGGCTCCAGACGGGCGTGAGGACTTCAAACACGTGAAACTTCCAGGCCGTATACCAGACAAGTTTCAGCAGGCGTCTCACATTGGCGGTGATAATGGTATGGGTGCAGGGGTGCTTGCGCACGCGCTTGGCATGATGGCGTGGTGGGAAATACCACCGCGTGAGGCGCGAGGATCGTTGCTCTGCACCAGGGAATGGCATTACTGCAAATTTCCTTGGGAGGTGCCTACTATTTGCGAGGGGCCGGTGGTGTTCAGGCTAGTCTCACAGGAATACGACGACTTCAAAATAGATCGTGACTGGTGCCTGAACAGGGACTGCACTGACGAGCACTGTCCATATGTTCACCCTTAGGGTTGTACCCAATGTGTACAAGTTCGCGGGATGCTATCATGGTCCTCACCTGCCAGGTGAAATGAGAGAGCTTTTTGGTGAGGGGAAATGAACATATGAGAAGGTTGTAAAGCCAATCTGTGTATTCAACAAACGATACACGTTATAAATAGAGTATGTCCTATTCCGACTGCTCGAAGTTAAGTAACTACACGCTCGTTGGGATAGTCAGTACGTCCAGCACGGCAATACAACTCGTGCGTTACGGACCGCCATCACCGTCACACACGCACGTGCCATGAGTCGTCGCACATTGGCCATTTACAGCGCGGCTCACGATAATCTTATCACAAATATCCTGACACCGCGAGAATCGAGCGTGCGGGATGGCATGGCATGGTTCCAGAGGATGCCGAAAATGGGCGTGACGCAACGCTAGCGCCAACTAGTCAGCGCACGAAGCGCCTACGTAAGTGGGGGTAAGTGGTGACGCGTATACACGCATGCAGGGGGGGATAGAATTATCGTTGGTGGATGCGCCTGGATTAGACGCAAGGGTTTCTGAGGGTGGTAGCGTTACGGGTTCCCGGGACCACAACTCAGAACTAGCGATACCGTCTGTCCCGTAAGCTCTCTATATAAAGGCACATGCCGGAAACATTCATCACACTCACCCCGAACAACGTTGGCATTGTTGATGCTTACTAAGCATGGAGTCTGCAAGGTCACCTTACGAACCGATGCGCCGAACGGGTAGGTCGAACGCGGGACGAAGAGCAGCTGACCGGGACATGGTTTATTACGGCGCCGCCTCGCGTGTCAACTCTGGACGCACCGGACGCGCACCATCACCTGGCAATGATTCTGACGAGGAAATGATCAACACAGAGAATGACACGGGTTACGCTTCGTGGGCTGCAAATCAGGAAGAAGATGAGGACGTGGGCGAGCCGTCGGAAGTTGCCCCAACCGAACTCGTCGATGAGGACGCAGAAGGTTAGTATGGGGTTGCTGTTTCAGGGTCAGTTAAATGCACGTTTGAGTTTCGGTGGCTGTTACGCAAGATTGTTGACCGTGCTGCCATCGATGTTAGGGTCATGTGGACAGCGGCGCGATCGAGGCAGCGCTCAGTCACCACCCTGAGCCATGCGGCACCAGTGACTCCCGTCGTCACCGCGTCAGGCGGACGTGGCCCCACCGTGGCCGCCACTGGGGGCGTCAACGTTCCTGCTGCAGCACCTGCACCAGCCCCAGCCATGAACGCGGCAATGGCTGCGCGCCTTCGCGCCCGCGAGCGCGAGATAGTAGACCTCAACTCCCGGCTCCGCGAGGCACGGCGTACGGGCAACAGAAACGGGACGGAAGGGGATGCTGACACCCAAGGACAGCGCAACGTGTCGCCAGCAACGACTCGCCAGCGCACACGGGAGAGCAACCCGACTGTCGAGCAACGAGGCCCTGGTCCGCAGCATGAGCGCGTGTACACTCAGTTCGTGGCACAGGCCCTCGCTAGGGAGACGGCGATTGTGCGTGGCAGGCATGGACCTCCTACCGAACAGCTGGTGATATGGGCGGACAATCTTGAACTCGCGGACAAAATTATCCCGGGCCTGTTGAATGGCCTCAAGGTATTACTAGTATGGGATGCGAAAAGTTCTTCCTTTGCCTTCGATATATAGCTGTGCGAATGCGTTGACTCATGCGTGAATCTTACCACCTGGTTCTCTTACCAACGCAATTCCAGGACGCAGTTGGGGAGGGGATAAAGCTGCTCGTGTACGCCACGCGTGTTCGGCGCATGTCATTCTGGCCGTCCCCGGTACTTGTCGAGGCGACGATGGCTCGTGCCCTTCGTCTGCGCACAAGGGCACAGCGTCAACAGCTTCACCTCGTGTGGACCAACGACGCTGCTCGGTCGGGGTGGTTCATCCGCAAAATGCAAGTGTTCCGTAACACTCGCTGGGAGCAGGGAAGGGCGTATGTGTACGTCCTCAACGGGCTGCCATATGAGCCCCCGACCTTCTCTCGTGTTGCGGTGCCAGCGGACATGACTACTAACGGGGTCCCACAAGTCTCCCGCGAGGACTTCATCGCCCGTCATCGCGCAGGTACTACCTACGGACACACTACCATAAAGGCTGGGCGGCTTTCGGAGGCCTCTATTTCAGAAACATGACCTAGTCGGGCTCTTTCATACGTTCGAGCTATCCCTAACCTCTGTATGCTTCATCGCTTATCAACACCGCATTTGCAGGACCTGGCACGTTCCAGCTGCTCGCGTGGCATGTCCTCAACGGCCTGCCCTTCGCCGCCGACTCCTTTGAGAGGGGTATCTACAAGTCATTCCGCCGAGCAGGCCCACCCCCTCTCGTCCTGAGGACCTATGTCATCGCCTTCTGGCTCTACGGGGTGAGTGGTAGATCGGTGCGCGTGCACTATCCACTCTAGTTCGATGGTAGTAAAACGCATCTAGTAAACATGTATGCCGCGTTTCCTTGCAGGTGGAGTTTCCGCTGATCAACGGCGGACAGATGCCACGGTCTGCGCCTCAGAACGACGAGGCGGTGCGCTGGTACCACGACCGCGTGGTCGAGTGGGCCCATCGTAGCATCATGGCGAGCACCCCGGCTAGTGGACCGTGGTGGGACCCTAATGCCCGTGCATGGGCATTTCGCCAGGGCAGTTCCGTGATTATTTCCGAGGACGGCCTCGAGGACATTTCTCCACTGGCTCCACCCCTGCACCCGTTTCCGGCCGCCGCGGCCGCAGATAATGGCGACAACAACGATACCGATACCGATGCCTAGGAGGATGCGTGGCAATGATGGGAAGGAACATCGTCGCATCTCCTGGCGCTGGTGGTGTGATGCCTTGCTATGAACGAAGGCGCGCGACGTACCGCACGTAGTGTTTTTGTCATACTTGCGCAACGGCTATGCTGCTGCTATCTGAATTCCTGCTGAGCTTGTTTCGTGTTGTTTCCGCTGCTGATGATTACGGGTTGGGCTGGTAGCTTGTGTGTGTGCTGTGTTATGCCTTTGTTGAGTTCAATCCAATTAGTTTGTGGGGCCACTTCGTGCATCAAACTGAGGACACGAACAACACAGGGGAACGAAATGTCTGACCTGAACGGTGACACACGGGGTCCCACCCTGCCAACGCGGCTCGACAGGTGGCCGTGCAAAACACTGCGCGGCGCGCTACTGTGACCCTACACCTGAGACAATTTTATAATAGTTTCATGGCGCGCTAACATTTGACTTTGTAACGATGTAACATCGTCGTTATTGTTATATTGGGAAACCTGGTAAGGTGTGGTGCCTTAACGGAGTGTGCTGTTAAAAGATGTTCTTTTGTGTGACTAGTCACTTTCGTTTGGCGCATTGCGTTAGCGTCACAAATTGTTTGTATCATATGCGTGCCAGATTCTTCACCTCGCGCAGTATCGAGTTGGTTAGTGATTGATAGACCATTTGATGCACGTGTGGGCTTTTGCTCTATCGGGTATGAAGATTGCTTGGTGTGTGCTTAGGCAATCCTTGCAGAACGTGCGGGGGTATCCTTGTCCAATCATCATCGACACTCATAAAACACTGCTCGCGCCCTTAGGATTGTTGATGATAAATCTCCAGCAGTGCTCCCTGGGACATAGAATTGACAATGTTTTCACAGTGACAGAGCATAGTTTTCCCGTTTTTTTTTTTTTTTTGTGACGTTGCTTGCTTGGGCTGGAAATAATCATTCATTTCAAAATGCACTGTGCCAAGTTGCGCTAAATTCGTATGTGTGGTCTTGCTTCTTGTTGTGAACAGTCGTTACAGTAGTTCCTTTGCATGCATAAAAGGACACAAGCTACACACACGCACGCACGCACGCACGCACGCACGCACGCACGCACGCACACACGCACGCACGCACACACACACACACACACACACACACACACACACACACACACACACACACACACACACACACACATACCTACTCGAACATAATTCACTTTGCTTGCAACCAGCTACACACGCACGCACGCACGCACGCACGCGCGCGCACTCACACACACATACACACATTATCAAACATAATTCACTTTGCTTGCAACCAGCTTCCTGAGCAAGTCAGCAAGACATTTTGCAATCTCAGCTCGGCCAGAAGTATGCACACATCGTTTGGTTGGTATGTACTACTAGTGTCAGGATGCAGGCTAGAGGCATTCCACGAGGAAGAACGGCAACATGTGAAGTCTCAGGTTTCATGCAGAGCACCCGTATGGCCAATCATTAATACCATCCCCATTAGTATTCCTGCTCCTGTGCAGCCCATGTACTCCCAGCAAGCATCGCTGAAATGCAGCTGCTCGTGCTGCCGGGACCAGAGCCGCGCAGAGCAGTGAGTGGGGAGGGCATTGGCGATAGCAGCGGTGCGAGTGGCTGGGAGGGCAGAGGAGCAGAGAGAGCAGCATGTTGCACGGAGGCAGGGTCCTCACAGCAAAGTCCCAACAGCACGTCGTCTGGAAGGGCGATCTCCGACCCAACGCGCAGCCATTCCACCCTCTGCAGTGTGCAACTGTCCCCAATGCAGGGAGCAGAGCCAGACAGAGCAGCGAGTTTGGGGGGCATTGCTGTTGGCAGCGCTGCTGTTTGTTACCAGGCATACGCGATGGCAGAGCTGTGGGTGGCTGGGTGGACGGAGGAGCAGACAGAGCAGCACGTTGCGTGAAGGCAGGTTCGTCGCTGCTGCTGCACCCCAGCAGCACGTCGTCTGGAAGGGCACTCTCCGACCCAAGCCGCGGCCACAACACCCGCTGCGCCCTGCTCGCCACTCCTCCCTGCTGCTGGCGACGCTCCTCCTGCAGCAGAGCCTCCAAAAGGGCCTCTTCTGATGCCTGCTGCTGCACGCCGCTGCTCGCCCCGTGCTGCTGAAACTGCTCTGCCACTGACTGACGCTGGTGCTCCGTGCCACACACCACCCCCTCTCGCACCACACCGTCTTGCACCAACCAGCTTCGCACCAACCCAGTCTCATGTCCACCCAGCAACAGGCTCTCACCTCCACCCAGCAACAGGCTCTCACCTCCACCCAGCAACAGGCTCTCACCTCCACCCAGCAACAGGTGGTGTGCGCCCAGCCCAGGGCAGTCGTCCCTCGGTCGCTTCACAGCACGGCGCAGAGCAGCGGCGTTGGAGGCAGCAGCAACGGGGAAGGCAGCAGCAAACTCGGTGGTGGTAGACGCAGCAGCAGAGAAAGTGGCGGTTTGGGAAGCAGGATAAGGAGCGTGGGAAGCAGGTTGAGGATTGGTGAGAGATGAGAGGTAGGGTGGGGCTGGTGGGAGGCAGCAGCGAGCATTGGGGTCGAGGAACGCCATCATGCACTCGCCATACGACAGCCCTCCGAACGCCACTGCAGGTGAACCAACGCCATCCGAATGCTGCTGCCGCTGCTGCCGCCGCTGCTGCCGCCGCTGCTGCTGCTGCTGCTGCTGCTGCTGCTGCTGCTGCTGCTTGAAATCCTGCTGACCGTCTCCGTGGAATGAAACGTGCTGGGAGAATGCAGCAGCTCCCAGGTGCTTTCGCAGGAAGTGCTGGCGAAAGCGGTCTGTGAACTTCCTGCCATCACCACACGGCCACAGGCGAGAGGAGAGGCGTTGAGAAACGCTGAGGCGCGTTAGAAATGCTCAGGCTTATCAAGACGCCTAGATTAAGAAAATCACGAATGTGACATGGCACATGGGTTACCTCTGGAGGAAGATGTAACGGTTGCAGCACGACTTGTTGCTCCTCTTGAGCTGGCCGCTCCTCCCCAGCTCGCCCCACTGCTTCGTGCCGCACTGCAGCACGTGGCGCAGCAGCACCGCGTCCTCCTGCCCACCCGTGAGGAAAGGGGGGAAGCGGGGGGAAGGGGGGAAGAGAATAGGGGCGATTTGAGACAAGAAGCAGCGCGTGGCGCAGCAGCACCGCGTCCTCCTGTGCAGTCAATGCGGGAGGCAATGAGCAGTGAGTGTAATGGCAGCGTGAGTGCCATCATGAGCAGTGAGTGTAATGGTCCGCGGCCCAATGCAGCGCGTGGCGCAGCAGCACCGCGTCCTCCTGCGCACCCAGTGCGCAGCGGAGTCCAAGGAGAGCGGACCATCGGGTGTGAAAGTCCGCGGCTCAAGACACACTAACGTGTCCGGACGACGCGCGAAGGTAGTGTAATCCAAACCGACATAAAGGGAAGGAAATGAAAGATTGAATTCGGAATCCAATATCAGGCCAGAATCCAGCGGATCTTGGAATTCTCCTCTGGTCACATCTCTTACCACCCAGCTCTCCCAATCCACCTCTCCCAATCCACCTCTCCCAATCCACCTCTCCCAATCCACCTCTCCCAACCCACCTCTGGCGACCATGGCTGCATGCCGGGCGACGCGGATTGCGAGGCCGGCGAGTCAATGGCTTCCGATGAATGCGGCATGGCGGCCGAGCAACAAGCATGACAGTGAGTCTTGCAAGTCTGTGTTCCGGGCGAGCAGGATTGCGAGTGCGACGCCGGCAAGTCAATGGCTTCCGAGGAATGCGGCATGGCGTCTACGATGCTCTTCTTGATAGCGGTAGTGATGCTTTTCAGACAGCAGAGTTGACTGACAAAAGCACGGCGTTGAGTCTTGCAAGTATTCATCCCTTTTCAAGAGGGAATGGAATGACGTCATGGAATGATGCCGCCTTGGACGACGGGGCGTCGTCTTGGCATCCGAGGGAGGGATGCTTCTCGCCGCATGTCGACTTGAAGTGCGCCTGGCGACTCGCGATGCAGGAGGCGTGAGACGGAAGAGCAGCTGGAAGGGGGTCACGTGAGGTGATGCGTGATCGACGATGCGGTGCGTATGCGGTGTGCGACGATGCGGACTGACGACGAGTGTGGGCCAAGTGGACTGACGAGGAGGGTACGGGAATCATTGCACTCGCCTAGGTCTAGACTGATGACCGACATTCCCGCACTCAAACCCTCCAATAGGAGGTGTCGACCTTATAATAAATCGAATAAGCATCTGATGGTCCCCTCAAAATCGGCCTGTCACATGAGTGTGGAATGGGGGGAGTTCGTCGTGTGATACGAGGCACGTGAACACCAGCAGCGGTGAAAATTGTCCAGACGTTTGCGTTTCGTTCGAAATCGGACAGTGGATAGAGACAAACGACGCCGCTGGCTGCAGCTGCCAGCACCTACCACCACCGGCTTCCCAGCCAGCTCGCACATCCAATCCAGGTGCACAACGGCGGTAGGGGAAGACATCGTTGACCTGGCAGGCAACTGCTGCTGAATGCCGCACTTCGAGCAAGACTGAAGAAGGAGCCGATACTATCTTGGGAATTATGGCGTGCAATACTGGTTTCTAGGCGAGTTTTGTACAGGACTGGGGTCTGCCGTCCGTCATAGCAGCAAGCAACTGCCAAGTGGAGGTGTCTGCCATGCCTTGCTCTTCCATGAGCTTGAATTTGAAGCTCACTTGTCTCGAGTGTGGGCGGGAGCTCGTGTGGGGTTTGAACATTTATTTCTCACCGCAGCGCACTGCACTGTACTAGACAATACCATGTCAACTTGGGCACAAACCCTTCTGGTTCTTGCTGTGAACAGCACAAACCCTTCGGAGTCTTAACGCAACATATACTCCATATAAGCATCACAAGAACAGTAACCTGGTAAAACATATACTTCTCACAAGCGTTTACGATTACCATACACCCTTATGACAAGCTGACTGATCAGATGTCTGAGAGCTCGCTATAAATGTTTGTCCAGCAGACTGGCTCCCTTCCCACCTGTCATGATGTCGCCTGTTTCGAGTGTCGAAGCCTACAAGAGTACACGGGAAGGATCTAGCCCTACGAGTCTGAAGGACGGACGGTGCGCGACTTGAGTAGCTAGGTTTGCGGTTGTGCTTCTAGGTTTATGCTTCAGACAGACAAAATCCCTCCCAACCCAGTATGAGCATGGAGGAGCCAGGCCATCCGTGGGACCTCACGATTTGGGAACAACGATCAAGGGAGGTGACTGTCTCGCGGATATTCCGAATTTTGAAAGGATTTTCGAGGTTAGAACATATAGGGGTTCAAAACGAAATCACAAGGCACAACAAACCCTGCAAGTTTTAGCTTCATGTTTGCAACTCAGTGTTAGGACAGACTTCTCAAGATCGGAAGTGTTGTTTCATTGATGGTGGTTGGGGTACAAGTAGCAAACCCTAACATACGTACCCCCAAAGACACATCTCACTACAGGCTACCAACATTTGACACACCCCCATAGCCTAAGTGAGGGGTGTCTAGCAAAACCAAAAGAGTACGGTCACAAGACCAGTCACAAAGAAACAAAGCTCAGGGTGGATCACAACGTCACCACAAACTCTGAGCACAAGCAACAATGGCCACAAGGCCAGTCCAAACAATAACAGAGATATATAGAAAGGGTACAAGCAAAGCAAGCAGTGAACTCAAGACTAAGTAAGCCGAAAACCAGTGTCAACAAGGCCTAACTGCACACAACACCTGTGGTGGTCACAAGGCGGAAGCGCCTTGGTGAAGATGTCTGCAGTGTTGGCCTCAGACTCCACAAACTCGAAGCGAGCCTGTCCACGCCTCTGCAACTCTCGCAGAAGAAAGTACCTGACGTTAATGTGCTTCACTCTGCTCTCCAGTCGCGGCTCTCGACAAAGGAGAATGGATGCCTTGTTGTCAGTGAACAAGGTCGGTGCAGAGCTCGGCCGCTCACCCAGGTCGGCGAGCAAGAACGTCAACCAACGCAGCTCCTGTGCCGCCATGGCACCAGCGTAGATCTCAGCCTCAGCTGTAGAGGTCGAGACCGAAGAGGAGCGCGTGGACCGCCAGGAAACAGCTCCAGAACCCAGACTGAAACAGTACCCCTGAGTAGACCTGTGAGTCTCAGCGTCGTCAGCGTAAGAAGAGTCACAGTGACCAGTAAGTACAACAGACTGCTGCCCTCCAAGAACTAGCCCCACGCCTGATGTCGTCGCTAGGTACTTCGCCACCCTCACAGCTGCTGTCCAGTGAACAGGACGGTGTCTCCCTGGCGCAACAAAGCGCGCAAGGATGCTGAGAGGGAAAGCGAGGTCCGGGCGAGTACAAGTCATCAGGTACATGAGGCAACCCACAAGCTCTGCGTAGGGACCACTAGGCTCAAACGGCTCGTCAGGAAAGGGGCCAGTGAGTCTGTGGTCAACAGCAAGAGGTGTGCGCTGTACTGTGGAGTGCTGAAGCTCGAACCGCTGAAGGACCTGCTGCACCATGTGTGACTGTGAGAGTGTAATGGTGCGAGCAGCTCTGTCCCTGGTGATCTGCAGCCCAAGGTAATGGCGCAGCTCACCAAGGTCAGTGCACGTGTGTCTCTTCTGCAGTTCGGACTTCACGTCTGCCAAAGCAACCCTGTCAGCAGTGGCGAAAACTAGGTCGTCGACGTAAACCAGAACGAAGAACGGTGTGGAGCCACGGCGAATGAACAGCGACGGGTCGGCAGAAGACGGCTGGAACCCAAGGTCAGAGAGGGTAGAGCGAAGAGTGTCGTGCCACTCACGAGGTGCCTGGCGAAGACCGTAGACAGGTCGCCTCAGCCTCCACTGGGTCCCAGGAGGGAAAGTGCCAGTGAAGGCAGAGGGACGACGCAGCCAGACCTCCTCGTGTAGGCTGCCCTGAAGAAAAGCAGTGGAGAAGTCGAGAGAGTGTAACTCGTAGTCTCTCTGTGCTGCTACGTGCAGTAACACCCGAAGAGTGGTCATCTTCAGGGTGGGCGCGAAGGTCTGAAAGAAGTCAACTCCCTCGCGCTGACTGAAACCTCTAGCAACGTAGCGCGCCTTGAAGACTGGAGGAGATCCTGGTGGCCGCTTCACCCTGTAGATCCACATGCCATCGACTACGTTCGTCCCAGGGGGAGGAACCTCATCAACCTAGGTGCCTGTGGATCTGTAGGAGGCCATCTCTGCGTCCATGGCAGCTCTCCACTGAGAGGCCCAAGGCCCTAACACTGCCTCAGCGTAAGTGCGAGGAGTCGGAATGTCAAGGGCGTCAGGGTCACCCTCAGGGGTGAGGAGCATGGCACAGAGATGAGGGGAAGCGGCTGCCAGGAACTCTAGCTCAAACTGCCTGTCCTCTAGGACGTCACAGCCAAGGGCAGACACACCCCCGACGGCCAGAGGACTGGTAGGAGGAGCAGCCACAAGAGTGGTGGCGTAGTCAAGGCGGCGAGTAGAGGCAAACTCAGTGACCGCGGCAGTAAGAGCAGAGACAGAGGACAAAGAGGCACGAGGGTGGGTAACAAGAGAGGCGAGAACACGAGAGAGAACAGGACGGTACGTGCGGTAGTAGTCAGTGACAGGGGTAGAGAGAGAAGCTGTGAGGGCCGACTCAGGAGGAGAAGGAAGCACAGGAGGAGCCGAACGAGACGGACTAGAACGTAACAAGACAGTACGAAGGTCAGTGAAAGGAACAGGGGACGAGGGACGAGCACGAGGAGAGCGACGAGTAGCCCAAGTACGAGACGGAGGAGGAGAGGACAAAGGCGGAGAACTGGGGAAAACAGCGGGGGAGGAGTCAGGAGGAGGAAACGTGGGACCGTAGACAGGAGGAGAGGCGGGGGAGGGAGGAGAAGGAGAGGGGAGACCAAGGGTCCGAAGACCTGAGACAGGAGGAGGAAGTGGCTGCTGCTGCTGCTGCTGGTGCTGCTGCTGCTGCTGCGGCTGCGGCTGCTGCTGGGACTGCTGCTCCTGCGGCTCCAGCTGCTGCTGCTGCTGCTGCTGCTCCTCCAGCTGCTGTAACTCCCTCTCCTCTCTCTCCAACGCCAGCTGCTCCTCACGGGCACGGCGAACACGAGCCTGGTGCCTAGTCGGGTAGGGGTGGGGGGGCGGAGTAGTGTCCGGAGCAGCGGCAGCTCCAGAGTCCACCCCCGAAGGACCAGGCACACCACCCCCAGAGGCAGCACTAACACCAGCTCCAGACCCAGGCTCACCAGAACCTGAAGGAGGCGCACCCTCACCCCCAGACAGAGCACCCCCAGTGTCCGCGCGACCAGCACCAGCTCCCGGAAGACAAGAGTCCTCTGCACCCACCGGCTCAGCTCCAACTCCAGCACCCCCAGAACTAGAAACCGGTACTGGAACAGGCTCGGCACCAACCTCTCGAGAGCTAGCACCTGCGGCACGCTGCGAGGAGGACTGTGGGGAGGGAGGCTGTACCGGAGGGGCTACCGAAGGAGGAGGGGTAGCCTGGGACACACCTGACGGGGCTGGACCAGGGGGGGGAGGCTGTACCGGGGGAGCAGGAGGGGGAGCGGCAGTCAGGAAGAGGGGGGGAGGAGGAACCGGGAGACCTCGACCGGGGTGCCTGACGAAGTACGGGGTGGACTCCTCGAAACGGACGTCACGGGAGTCAAAGAACCGGTGAGAGGGAGGGTGGTAAAAGGTGAAGTCAGAGGAGTCCTCAGGGAAACCAAGGAAGACACAGGGGACGGCGCGAGGCGAGAGCTTGTCCGCAGAGGTGTCGCGGACAAGAGCCAAGCACCCCCAGACACGAAACCTCGACGCAACACCAGGGGACCCGGTCCAAAGACTGGTCGGTGAAGCCTCTGGCCGAGAGACGCGTGGCCAGAGGTTCAGCTGGTGCGCGGCGTACCGAACCGCGTAAGGCCACAGAAAATGGGGGGCACGGGCGTGAGTCAGGGAGGTGCGGGCGATCTCCATGACCAAGCCTATGCGGCGCTCAGCAACCCCATTCTGCTGCGGGGACTCTGGAAGCGTCCAGGACTGACGAATGCCCTGCTCGCGACAGAATCCAGCGAGAATGCCGGAGCGAAACTCACCCCCGCGGTCAGAGTGAAGACAGCTGACACGACGACCACGAGTGTCCGCGGTGGTGAGCAACCACCTGATCAGCGTAGAAGTCACCTCAGACTTCTTCGCCAGGGGAAACACTGTGGTGTAGCGGGAGTAGTCGTCAACAACCACCAGAAAGAAACGCTCACGCTCAGGGCCAAGGCGAGAGGCGGGGCCCCAGACATCTAGGTGAAGCGTCTCAAACGGCTCGGTGGCCGGACGAAGGGAGGAGGAGTGAGGGGTGGCGCGCAGCCGACCCTCGACGCAAGGACCGCACGGTGGTGCAAGAGACGGCGGCAGCGACGGCAAGACACGCGGGAGACCTAAGACCAGACGCTGACTAGACATAGCACGCAGACGTGGAAGAGAAGGGTGTCCCATCCGGTGGTGCCACAGAACGGTGGGGTGGGCAAGCGACCGACAGGAGCAAGACGCAGCGACTGGACTGGACGCGACAACCTGAGGGGACGGAACCACCTGGTGAGACGCAGGGAGGAGACTAGGGGGAGGGACAGGAACTGGGAGTAGGGGCTGCTGCGACGGCGGCCGCTGCGGCTGCTGCTGCTGCTGCTGCTGCTGCTGCTGCTGCTGCTGCTGCTGCTGCTGCTGCTGCTGCTGCTGCTGCTGCGTCCACTGCCGTGCGCGCGGGCCAGTGTGAAGAGTGTAGAGACCGGAACCCGGCTCAGCAGCAAAGGTGGCGAGAGGCTGGTAAGAGTCACCGTCAACACACACTGCAGTCTCCCCAGAAGGCTCAAACCACACACCCACGTGCTGACTCACGAGGGGTCGCACGCCCACCAAGTTCCGGGAGAACGAGGGGACATGAAACCCAGTGAGAGACCCGGAGGGGGCAGCAGGACACGGCAAAGTGGTAGTGTGACGTGCAGTGACTGGTCCCGAGGTGGGATCAGCCAGTGCCACAGAGACAGGCGCAGGAAGTGGCGTAAGTGTCGTGCTGTCACGAAAGAAGCAGTGCGAGGCTCCAGAGTCCAGCGTGAAAGACAGTGAAGTGTCCTCCGAGGTAGCCGCTGGACTAGTGTCTACACAAGAACCTACACTAGCAACAGGCAACTGAGCAAGGCTAGCACCTAAGCTAACAACACCAGAGTAAACAGAGTCAGAAACACTAGAGTCAACAACAGCATACATAGCATGAGGAGTTCCAATCAGATCAGCTAACTGCTCGGCAGACATGTCCCACAGAGCGGAACCGTAACGCTGAACAAGGGGGAACCAGTCAGGGGCAGGACCGCCAACCCCGTAAACCAAACGAACCGTGTCAGTGAGCTGAGCAAAACACTGACCAGGGGGGTGAAGGCGGCCACAAGGGTGGCCCCGGCGAGCACCTGTCAGAACCTGATAGGCGCAGGGAGGGTAAACAGCACCACGCTGCGGCTGACGCGGCCCCGACCCCGAAGCCAGCTGCGGCCGCTGCTGCTGCGGAGGCTGCTGGGAGGAGAGGGGCTGCTGCTGCTGCTGAAGCTGCTGCTGACGCTGGGCCCGGTACCACGCCGCTGCCCCACCCACCGGGGCTGGCAGTACAGGGGGCGACTGACGAACGCGGGCGTCGCCACCACCAGCAGTCGCAGTGGAGTCACCGGTCGCTGCACGAGACGTCTCTCCAGGCCCTGCACTCCCACCACCGCCAGTCGCAACGCCACCCCCACTACCTCCGCCTCCACCAACGCCGCCACCAGCACCGCCCCTCTTGCCACCCCTACCGCGGGACCGCGACGAAGTCGTAACAGCAGCTGCGGTCGCGTCAGTAGCGGCAGTGGCGAGAGAGGCAGTAAAGGTGGGCAACTGCGGAACTGTGCACCCGTGGAAGAGCGGAGGGGGCACAGCACCAGAGGCAGCGGCGACGGAGCGGAGGTTGCTCTCGACGTCCTTGAGAGCAGACTCAAGGACGTCAACAGTGAGCTCACTAGGGTGCTTCAGGAGAAGCGCGTCACGAACGGAGGCAAGGCGGTCGGGGAGGCTGGTGGCGATAAAATAGATAGTAATCGCCATGGGAGGAGGAAGCAGTGCGAGCTGGGCCTCAGTGCAAGCAGCGCGGTAACTAGAGTCGAGCGAGCGGAGGTGAGCAATCAAGTCAGCAGAGCGCTCAAAAGAGGCGAGATCAGGGAACAGGAACGGGAGGAAAAGGCGGCCAAGAGAGACAGCAGCAGGAGTGGAGTAGCGGGCCTTAATCGCAGTCAGGTACTCAGCAGCAGTGCGAACCTGAGCAAAGTGAGCCTCCTCAGACTCGGGGAGAAGGGTGCTGAGCGCGATGCAGGCCGCAGCGTCACGCGACGTCCAGGCTGTCAGGTCAGCGCGCTGGCTAGCGAAGCGAGCTCTAGCGGCGTCGTCAGGGGCAGGACCTAAAGGCGTAGGGTCGGGGGGCGCAGGGAGGGCACCAGCAGCGTGCGCCCAGAGGGTCTCGCCTGACTGGACCTGACTCTCCAACTGACGGCGAGCGCGCAGAAGCCAGAGCGAAAAGTCAAGGGGTCTACCGTCAGCGTCGAAGCGAAGAACACGCGGAGTCGCCATCGTTAAAACCGACGGAAAAGCGGAGGCAGGAAACCCTAAACGAGATGGCGTGGCGAAAATCGGGCGGGCAAAGGGCGAAGCGTGAAACCCTAAACGAGGTAGAGGCGCAGCTAAACGGGGGGGGCGTTAAGGGGCAGCCGCACGGGGGCTAAGGGCAGCCGCGCGGGCGCGGGGGCGGACGTTAAAGGGCAGCCGCGCGGGGGCTAAGGGCAGCCGCGCGGGCGCGGGGGCGGGCGTTAAGGGGGAGCCGCGCGGGGGCTAAGGGCAGTCGCGCGACGCGACGAGCAGCGAAGGCGGGCGCCGCGGCGACGGGCGCAGGCTGCGGGCGCGACATCGGGCGCCGCGGCGGGCAGCGACGGCGGGCGCCGCGGCGACGGGCGCAGGCTGCGGCGGGCGACGGGGGAATGCGCAGCGGTGGCGCGCGTAAGGGGGGGACGGGCGACGGGAGGACGGGCGGGGAGAGCGCGATTCGACGGGCAGCAAGGGGGGAAACGCGACTCGACGGGCAGCGGGGGGAAAAACGCGACTCGACGGGCAGCGGGGGGAAAAACGCGACTCGACGGGCAGCGGGGGGAAAAAAACGCGACTCGACGGGCCTCGGAGGGGGGAAAACGCGATGAGGCTCGGGCAAGACGTGCGTAAGTAATACGAGAGAGGGAGACAGGCTCGGGCGATACGAACGAGGTCGGGAGGAACGGGATCCTACAGGATCCTAACCTAGGTGATACCATCTCAAGATCGGAAGTGTTGTTTCATTGATGGTGGTTGGGGTACAAGTAGCAAACCCTAACATACGTAACACATCTCACTACAGGCTACCAACATTTGACAAGACTGGCTGTGCAGTCTCTCCAGATGACGAGCAACCATGTGTATGGTATTTGTTGGCGCCCTTCCATGTTGACAAGGCACAGACAGCCAAGGGGCTGGTGTCGGTAGCTGTAAGAGTGGCCTTAAACGTAGTTGTGGCGACGGCTGTGAATGCAGGGGTGGCTGGTGCGGTGGCAGGGAGAGCATGCGGTCAAGCTCGAGGTACTGACAAGGCTTCCACTGTGCAAGAATGCCCTCCAGGGTGAAATACTGCTGCTGCCTGTGCCACTCAGCACCTCCTTCCCTGGACCTTCCCTGCTCCTCCGCCCACTCTGGCAGGTCTGTCGCAGCAGCACGTGGGACGGCAGGCCCCTCAGCGTGAGGTCCACTTGCCAAGGGCACAGCAAGGGGACTCCCACCCAGCAGAACGTGAGCCATGGGCGTGTCGAGAAAGAGCGCACCGCTGTCCTTGTCACTGTGCATGCCAGTGTTGAGACTGTTGTCACTATTGTCAGTGTTGTTTATGTTGCTGAGCACGTTAACACATGCATCCACGTATTCCTGCTCCTGTATGCCACACGCGCTCCCGGCAAGCATCGCTGTAAGGCACCTGCTCGTGCTGTCAACAGCCGGGCCAGGCAGACCAGCGAGCGGCGAGGGCATTGGTGCTGCGAGTGGCTGGGTGGGCGGAGGAGGAGGAGCAGAGAGAGCAGCACGTTGTGTGAAGGCAGGGTCCTCGCAGCAGAATCTCAGCAGCACGCCGTCTGGAAGGGCACTCTCTGACCCAACGCGGAGCCACTCCCCGCGGTGCACTGTGAAATCCCCAATGCAGGGCGCGGAGCCAGGCAGGGCAGCAGCGACCTCGGGGGGCATTGGCGCTGGCAGCGCTGTGTGTAGCTGGGAGGGCGGAGGAGCTGGAAGAGCAGGGTGCTGGATGAAGGCAGGGTCGTCGCTGCTGCACCCCAGCAGCACGTCGTCTGGAAGTGCACCCTCCGACCCAACGCGCGGCCACAACACCCGCTGCGCCCTGCTCCTCGCTCCTCCCTGCTGCTGCCGATGCTCCTCCTGCAACAGCTCCTCCAGCAGGGCTTCGTCCGCTGCCTGTACGACGCTGCTCTCCCCCTGCTGTTGGAACTGTTCTGCCACTGACTGATGCCTGTGCTGCAACCCCAGCTTGGACGAGTCGTCCCTTGGTCGCTTCAGCACACGGCGCAGAGCAGAATTGGGGGCAGCAGCAATGGGGGAAGCAGCAATGGGGGAAGATTCATGGGATACTGGAAACTCGGCAATAAAAGCAGCCGCATTAGCAAAGACGCTGGTGGCTTGAGGAGGAGGAGGGCTGGTGACAGAAGAGAGGTCCAGTGAGGCTGCTCTGCGGCAGCAGCGTGCGTTGGGGGAGAAGAAGACGGCGGAGCACTCGTCAAACGACAGCCCTCCGAACACCAGGCCAGCTGAACCCACGCCTTCCGCACGCTGCTGCTGCTGCTGCTGCTGCTGCTGTTGCTGGAAATCCTGACAAAAAAACGGCGGACTGTTTCCGTCCAGTAACACGTCCTGGAGGAACGAAGCACATCCCATGTGATTTCTCAGAAAGCTCTCGCGAAATTGGTGAGTGAACTTCCTGTCGTCAACACACGGCCACAGAGCAGAGGTGATAAGAAAGGCTGAGATGTGTTACTAATGCTCATGTGTATCAAGAAACCTGAGTTAATCATGTATACCTTCGGACGAAGATGTAACGGTTACAGCACGACTTGTTGCTCCTCTTGAGCTGACCGCTCCTCCCCAGCTCGCCCCACTGCTTCGTGCCGCACTGCAGCGCGTGGCGCAGCAGCACCGCCGGCCGCGTCCTCCTGCCCACCCGTGAGGAAAGGGGGGAAGTGCGGGGGAAGGGGGGGAGAGAATGGAGACGATTTGAGACAAGAAGCAGCGCGTGGCGCAGCAGCACCGCGTCCTCCTGCGCCGTGCGAGTGAGGGAGGGAAATGACAGCGTGGCCACCATGAGCTGTGAGTGTGAAGTCCGCGGGTCAATGATTGCAAGGATGAAATTGCAAGATTCAATGCTGAACCCCATTTCAAGTTCTAACAAAAATAGAGGGTTGAGAAAATTTCCTTCCTCTTTTCGCGACCCACCGCCTCTCGCGACCCACCTCTGGCGACCATGGCTGCATGCCGAGCGGCGACGAGGGTTGCGATGAATGCGGCATAGCGGCCAAGCTGCGGTTCGTGAAAGCGGTACTACCACCACGGTGTTCAAAAAGGGGTCAGCTGGCTCGAAAACCCAGGATAATCTTGCAAGGTTGCGCTCAGGGTAATTACGGAGTGGTATTAACTTCAGAAAATAACCGTCTCCTTTGAAAGAAAGGTGCGCCCAGGATAATGTTGCCAAGAACTGCGGAGAATCTATCCATTTTGGCTCAAACCTGGCTCCACGGACGGCAAAGACCTTTGCGGTTCAGTACGGTCGAGCAGCAAAAGCATTCATGCACGAGCCATGATTATGGGCTGGGTCTACCACTGCCCCCCTTTGATGCGGCCGCTTGCCAACAGGGCTGAGTCTTGACCGCAGCAGTGGGATGCCCTGTACACCACTTCCAGACGCAACCAGCGAGGCTTCGCTTCGAGTCGTGCGGCATCAGAAAAGGCGTGCGACGGGAGGGCAGGAGTGGAAGGGGTGCGAGCGACGAGGATGCTAAGTGTGGGCCAAGTGGGAGCGACAACGAGAGGCACGGAATGAAAGGAATCATTGCAGTGGCTTTGTACGTTTGCAGCCTGCCAGCCGGCACTCCTGCTTTCAAAACCCCTCCACGTAGGTGTACACTATAAATTTGACACTGTCATAAGAGTGTACGTATGGAAGCGGAGGAGCCAGGAACCAGCGTCGGGTGTCACAAAGCACGTGAAGACCCGCCAGCCGTGACAACTGTCGAAACGATCTTGTTTCAAACGGACAGTACTGGTGGAAACTAGGACCACGGTCCACGACGAAGCCATTGGCTGCACCTGTCAGCCCCCCAAACTTGCACATCCAATGCAGGTGCATGGAAGGGGGGAAGACATTGTTGACCTGGCCAGCAACTGCAGTGGAATGCCATATCTCAAGCAAGACTGGGGGAACGGAAGGGAACCAATCTTGAGGATTACGTTATGGGGAGGATTATGTTATGGCGTGCATTAGGGCGTGTATTTTTTTTCCGAATCGGCGAATATCCGGACGTCGCTCCCACAGCGACCGGATAGCCTCGGTACGGATATCTGGGACCCCGGTTCGGACATATGCCCGTCCGTACTTGGAAAGTGGAACTTTTGTGGTCTCGAAATTTGAACGACAAACGACACGTTACGGTTGCCACCCAGCATTCGATCCCAAGTTCAGTGAATGTTGATTTTGGCAGTCATGATCTTGTGCGCCTCGCCAGAAATGGGTCAGCGGCTCGTGATCCCGGGCCGCTTGCAATACTTTAGTCTTTTTTCGAGCGCCAATGACAGCAATGCAAATGCGCCGATTTCAGTTCGGACACTGAACGGACCACTCCCTCACGCCACAAACCTGAAAAGTTTGTCACAGTTCGTACCCATGCGACGTCGCCTAAAAGCTGCCGAAGAGCCAAACGAAGTGTAGCGAACAGAGAAACCACACGGTCCGTCCGGACAGCCCAAAGTCCGGACGACGGTTCAGTAAAACGACACACGCCCTAGCGGTTGGGTTGGGGTAGAGGGAGGAACTAGGCGAGTGTTGCGGTCAGCAGCGGCCAACTGGAGCAGTCTGCCTGCCTCTTCCTGAAATGTGAAAGGCCACGTACCTGCGAAACTGCTGTGGGTTGGGTGGATACAAAAGTGATTTCAGTACAATACTGTATCTACTACAGTATCAAAAGAAGTTTAATGACCGACAGTGTGGTCTGGCCTTTTCAGCTGCTTTCCCAGCTTCTTCCACAACAAATACTCCATAGAAGCATACCCTTCAACAGTCTGGAAACTGTTTTACTAAAAAACAAAAACACTACGGAGGCAACAAGATTTGTCCCCGTCGTCCACAATACCACTATGGTAAGCAAGGCAAGGCAGCAAGCCTTCCTCAGAATTCAATGCTGGTACTTGATCAGTAAAAAAGAAACCCGTATTTTCCGTCAGGTATATGTTGATAGATGGAGCCTGGGGGTGGAGGCATCCCAAGGAAGAATGGCCCGTATGTGGAGGTCCAAGGCTTGACGAACAGCATTCGTATGGTCAATCATAACGCGGACCCTGCTAATATCAAGTTCAATTTCTTTTTGAACAAATCAGTCCGAGTCACGCCCATCCAAGCTGAGCCCATGACCAACCGTGGCATGCGGAGCAGCACCATCAACTCTCAGAGTAAAGGCAACGCCGGGCACCGGAGGAACCATGGACTTGGTAGAGGGCAGATGAAGCACCACCGGTGGGGAAGGGCTGCTGCAGCATGGCTGGGCGTGGCTGTATGGGAGCTCGCATGTGCGAGTCCCTTGGGTTCGAAAGCGTGTTCAATGGACTGGTGATGGCATGGGGGACTCGATGTTGAGAATGGGCTGGCGGAAAGGGAGTTAGGCGCAGCGGCTGCAGCAGCTGTTGGGGGGGGAGAATGCGCTCAAACTCTCCACGCTCACAACCCTTCAGCTGCTCGTACTGGCACAGGTGCGGCTCAGCACCTCCCTCCCAGGCCCCTCCCTGCTCCACTGCCCATTCAGGCAGGTCTGCACAAGCAGCACGAGGGGCTGCCCCAGCAGCACGAGGGGCTGTGGGTGCCAGCGCCTGTTGGTGGGCGAGGGAACCCCCACCCAGCAGCACGTGAGCCATGGGAGTGTTGAGAAAGAGCACACCGCAGCCGTTGCCGTTGCTGTCATTGCTGTTGTTTCCATTGCCAAGCATGCCAATGCACGCATCCAGGTATTCCAGCTCCTGCGAGGCACTCGCATCCCCAGCACGCGTCACTGCAACGCAGCTGCTCGTGCTCCCGAGGGCAGACCCAGGCAGAGCAGCAAGCGGGGAGGGCATTGACGCTGGCAGTGCTACGAGCGGCTGGGTGGGTGGAGGAGCAGAGAGAGCAGAACACTGAGTGAAGGCAGGGTCCTCCCAGCAGAGTCCCAGCAGCACGTCATCTGGAAGGGCGCTCTCCGACCCAACGCGCGGCCAGTCCCCTGGATGCACTGCGAAATCCCCAATGCAGGGGGAGCAGTTGGGCAGAGCCGTGAGCGGGGAGGGCATTGGTGCTGGCAGCACTGCGCGTGGCGGGGTGTGCGGAGCAGCAGAGAGAATGGTGCACTGCTTCAAGGCAGGTTCGTCGCTGCTGCACCCCAGCAGCACGTCATCTGGAAGAGCACCCTCCAACCCAACGCGCGGCCACAACACCCGCTGCGCCCCGCTCCTCGCTCCTCCCTGCTGCTGCTGCTGCTGCTGCTCCCACAGCAGCGCCTCCAGAAGGGCTTCGTCCGCTGCCTGTACAACGCTTCTCCCCCCCTGCTGCTGCACACAGCGGCTATCCCCCTGCTGTTGGAACCGCTCTGCCACTGACTCACGCGGGTCCCCCAAGCGACACACCATCCCGCCTGGCAGCAACCCACTTGGCACCAACCCCCTCTGACGTCCGCCCAGCTTTGGGTGGTGTGCCTCCAGCCTCAGACTGTAACGGATCTATGAAGAAAAAGGGCATTTACCCACTTAATAATAGGTTCTAATACAACCAGAGAGTAGCAGCTCCTGGAAAATGACTAAGTCTGAGAGTTGCTAGGAGATGCAGTCACAAACTGTGGAAGGTGTGTTGTGAAGAGAGAGATCCCATTTCCCAATTGATTAGTTGGGAGTAGGAAATGGAGAATGAGCCAAGAGGCTTCAGACCCCTTCCCTAGACCCCCTTGGGGTGCAACCACCTTCCCCATGGCAAGGAGGGGTGCACTCCCTTGGGCCTTGCCCATGTGGCAAAGGTTACTCAATGACATGGCACAAACAAAGGGATAAAATGCTGTGTATGTAATATGTTATCCCTACCTGTCATGTTTCAACTGGTTGCAATTCCAACGCAAGAGTTGTGTTGGACTTCGAATGTTTGTGATTGGTTGTAACTCCAACCAGCGGCGGGAAACTTCTCGACTCACTTTGTATAAAAGTGTTCTGATTGGTTGGCTTGCCAACCAGTTCGTTTCCCCGATTTCCAACCAGTTCAATTCCCCTTTCTCTTCCCAACCCAGGTTCAATGTATCGAGACTTGGGTTGGTGGGATTCGATATGTTACACTCCTCCCCCTCCAGCTGGCAACGTCCTCGTTGCCGTGGGGTGCTTCTTAGGACGAGTGCTACGAGCACGACGAACCACATTACGACCAGGGTCAACACCATCCGCTGGTTGTGGGAGTGCTCGCTGAGCCAGGTCTTCCATGTAAGACTGGACCGCAGTATCAGTCAAATGTTCTTCCGGCTCCCATGAGTTGTGTTCAGGCCCATAGCCTTTCCACTTAATGAGGAACTCTCGTACAGTCTTGCGGCCGCGTTGTCGATCACGGTGCAAAAGCACTCGTTCGACTTCATAGTACAGTTCCTCCCCTAGGACGATTGTTGGTGGTGGCAAGTACTTGCCTTCTGCAACGTACTTGCTTAACAGAGACACATGGAAGACATTGTGAATCTGCAGGGTATCAGGTAGCTTGAGCTTGTAAGCTACCGCACCAACTCGTTGCATCACCTCGAAGGGCCCAATCCAGCGAGGGAACAACTTTCTCGCACCAGGGATCTTAAGCCGAATATTTTTCGTGCTTAATAAAACTTTGTCTCCAACGGAGAACGATACTTCCCGGCGTTTCATGTCGGCATAGGATTTTTGTCTATGTTGGGCCAACTGCAGCCAACGACATGCCGACTTTAGGGCCTCTCGTTGCTTGCCCACAAAATCCTTTGCGGCAGGTAATTTCAAACCGCCGATCCCATGCGTAGCAGGTGTTGTGGGAATCCGACCACAGTTCAGGATAAATGGTTTTTCATGTGTGCTATCATGCACTGAGTTGTTAACCGCAAACTCGACCATGGGTAACAACTCGTCCCAATTGTCCTGTGTTGGGCTTATGAAAGAACGAAGCATCTGCTCGAGAGTGCGGTTAGTCCGTTCCGTTTGGCCATCAGTCTGGGGATGGAACGCTGACGACATCTTAAGCTTCGTTCCTAGTGTCTCGGTTACTTCACGCCAGAATCGGCTCGTGAAGCGCGGGTCGCGATCAGACACTAATACACGTGGCAATCCGTGTAGGCGGAACACATGTGTCACGAACAACCGAGCAGTATCCTCTGCTGACACGTCTGTTGTCGTGGGTACGAAGTGCACCATTTTTGTAAGGCGATCTACGAAGACGAGTATCGCCGTATACCCATCACGGGTTCTTGGGAGGTCGGTGATGAAATCCAGTGAAACGCTTTCCCAAGGTTCACTCGGAATTTCAAGTGGTTGAAGCAAACCACCAGGCTTCTGTGTGTCCGGTTTGTTACGTGCGCACGTGTCACAACGTGCCACAAACTGTTGGACATCACTACCGACTCCAGGCCACCAATATACATCGCGTAAGGCCCACCGGGTCTTATTCATGCCCAGATGTCCCCCGTATTTAGTGGCGTGCACCTCTTCCAAAATATCGTTCCGTAGATTGCCTACATGAGGTACCGCAATCTCTTTTGTTCGCCACCAAAGATCGTGTTCCCAAGTCAAATGCTTAGTGTTTTGTGGGTTCTGGAACCAGGAATCGATATGATATCCTGTGCGAATTCGTTTCAGAAAACCACTGAACGCGATCTCGCTCACTTTCGCCGTAGCTAGTATACTAAAACAGGCAGCAAAAACAGCCGCATGTTCGGTATCGTCAAGCCCAGTTGCTGCCCCTATCGGCTGTCTGCTGAGGGGGTCAGCCAGGTTCGTCGAACCCGCACGATAACGAATGTCGAAACTGAACCCACTGAGGAGTTCAGCCCAACGGGCCTGACGGCGAGTGAGGGTAGCTTGGGTAGAAAAATATGTGTTCGGACAATGGTCAGTGGTGACCACGAACTCTACCCCTTCCAAATAACATCGCCATGTTCTTAGCGCATGCACGACAGCCAACAATTCCTGTTCGGTAGTCGTGTAGCGTTGCTCTGCCGGGGAGAGTTTTCTACTCTCGAATGCCACAGGGCGTCCATCTTGCAGGAGTACTGCTCCAAGTCCCACCGTTGAGGCGTCTGTAACCACCTCATATGGTTTCTGTGGGTTGGGCAACGCCAAAACTGGTGCGTTGGTTAATTTATATTTAACCTCCTCAAAGGCCTTTTGGCACTGTGGGGTCCACTCCCACGCACACCCTTTCCGGGTCAATGCCGTGAGGGGAGCGACTATCGTGGAATAATTTTCCAAGAAGCGACGAAAATAATTCGCCTGGCTCAGGAATGATCGGACTTGGCCAACGTCGCGTGGGATGGGCCACTCCTGGACAGTTGCTACCTTCTTGGGGTCCACTTTCAACCCATTATGCCCCACCACGTGCCCCAAATACTCTAGCTCACGCTTGTAAAAATGGCATTTCCACAAACGCGCGTAGTATTTGTGCTCGCGTAATTTTCCGAGGACCCATTTTAAATGTTCCGTATGCTCGTCTTCGGTTTTCGAGTATACCAGGATATCATCGAGGTACACCAAGACGAACTGGCCAATCGCATCACGAAACACATCGTTCATCGCCCTCTGGAAAGAGGCCGGAGCGTTGGTCAAGCCAAAACTTAACACACGCCACTGAAAATGGCCGAACGGCGAACGGAAAGCCGTCTTTGGAACATCGTCCTCTGTTATACGTAGTTGGTGATAGCCTTGCGCCAAATCCAATGCACTGAACCATTGCGCACCCTGTAGTCGATCAAATAAATCTTCTATCCGCGGAAGTGGATATCTGTTTTTGATCGTAATTTTATTCAGGGCTCGATAATCGACGCACATGCGCAGTCCGCCCCCTTTCTTGTGAACGAACAAGATAGGTGCTCCGTATGGGGACGCGCTAGGTTCTATCCATCCCTTCCTGAGGTATTCCTCAATCTGTTGTTTAGCCTCCTCGTACTCAGCTGGACTGAGGCGATACAGAGGTCTAAATGGTGGTGCCTTTCCTGGTTCCACCGGGATGGTATGGCCGACTGCACGGTCGGGAGGTAACCCGTCCGGAATTGGCTCAAAAACCTCAGAATATTCCTCTGCCAACGCCTTCATTTGAGGTGGGAAATCTTCAATAATCTGTGAAGTAGTTGGTTCGGAGTCTAGCTGTACAACAAAAAGTGTATCAGCTACCTTGACATGCTCTTTGAATTGGAGAGCCGACGCAAAGCGTACGTCAAGAGCTAATGTTTGAGGTTTGTCGTCCAGTGCTTGGCGCTTTGGGACTTGCCATTGAAACGTCGTCCCATTCTTTGTGAAGGAAAGCGTGTTATCTTGGAAATTTAAGATCACCTCATTAGGCCGCAGCCAATCCATTCCCAAGACAATGTCTACGCCTGCTAGGAGGGGTAAGACAAAAACGTTAATAGTCTCCTGATATCCTTGGATATCTAGGTTGACCAAGGCATGTCCTCTGCATGGGATGACCCTGTCATCTCCCAGACGGATAGAGCACGATGGTCCTTGAACAGGCACATTCAAATACCCCATCCATTTCTCATCGATCAATGACGCAGTCGCTCCTGTATCAACCAGGATCGAGGCACTGCGCCCGTTTACACGACCAGAAAACAAAAGATTTTGCTGATGTTTAGGTCGAATAGGACATGCCGTGATGTCAGTGGGAGGCAAATAATATGCCTTAATGCCGTGCTTGCTGCGTCCAAAAGAACGAGCTTGTGTCCACAAGACATGGTGTCCTTTATCCCACTGCGCTAACACGCTCCATCCTTGAAGTGCTCGAAACAATTTACCTCGAACTGTGCGCGTTACCATTCCAACCGCAGTTAGAGGGTGCGCTTGGGTGCAACGACCCACGACGTCCATTATCCAAGGCAAATTATGGTGATCACAAAATATAAATGAGAATTTATCTCTTAGTGATTCAACTGTGATATTTTCCAGTGGGTGAAATCGAGAGGCAAATAAAGAGCTTTCATTAAAAGAAAATGCATACACACATGCAATTTTGCAATCAACAAGGCACTCGAGTTTCAACAACTCCTCATCCCGCAGGACCACTGCCTCATCCTCTCGATCTGCTATGCCCGCTAGGT